ACTAATATTCAACCAGGGCATTCGCTAAGAGAACCGCTTCGTTGGCTGCGTATCGCAAGCAGCTTAGCAACTACCTTGGAAGCCGCATGAACCAGGTCGCTCCCAACCTGGCTGCTCTGATCGGTGACACGGTTGGCGCAAGGCTGATCTCCAAGGCTGGTTCTTTGACGAATCTCTCCAAGTACCCTGCCAGTACTGTGCAGATTCTGGGTGCGGAGAAGGCGCTGTTCAGAGCGCTCAAGACCAAGGGAAACGTATGTGGCTTTGCTCGACACTCTGCCGGATGACGCTAACTGTTGAGCAGACTCCCAAGTATGGATTGATCTACCACAGCTCCTTCATTGGACGCACAGGACAAAAGTCCAAGGGCAGAATCTCGCGTTTCTTGGCCAACAAGTGCTCAATTGCGTCGAGGATTGACAACTTTTCTGATACGCCGACTTCCAAGTTTGGTGAAGCACTCAAGCGCCAAGTGGATGAGCGAATTGAGTTCTATGCGACTGGCGCCCCGCCTGCGAAGAATGCAGCGGTGATGCAGGCGGCCATGAACTCTGTCATGACTGACATTGGCGTCATCGAGGACCCCACTGCAACTGCAGCCGAGGATGTGGAGATGGCCGACGGGGTAACAGCGGCAGCCACTGAGCAAGCGGTGCGCAAGGAGAAGAAGGACAAGAAGGCCAAGAAGGCCAAGAAGGAGGCCGAAGAGGAGGTTTCGGAGAAGAAGTCGAAGAAGGACAAGAAGCGGAAACATGGCGAGGAGGAGGATGGCGAAAAGAAGAAGAAGAAGAAGAGCAAGGCGTGATGATGGGATGGGGAGGAAGACCTGTAGCTATACTGGCATCGTGTGATGGCGTTTTGCAAGAGGGTGTTTTTGGAGTTTGTTTTTTTGTGAGTGATTTGTTTTGAGGGGTCTATGAGTTTACGCAGCACATTACCCAGGGGCGGATGGGTGTGGGCATATACCTCGAGCAGTTATCCAGGGTACAAAAGCAGTGTTGTTTGCAATTGCGCGCGGGTGTGTATGTGTGAGTGTGTGAGTGTGTACATGTGGGTGTGTGGGTGTGCATGTGCATGTATGACAGGAGGGTGGACATGCAAGAAGCGTTCCTGGATGTGTAACGCCACGGCAGCGGTGGCGAATCAGAGACCCCTGTAGACGATCGGAACGCACGGGCGCGATCAGGCATGCAGGCCACGCCGAAACGCACAGGCAGCGTGGAACGACCATGTATAGGTAGTGGGCTGGCAACAGAGCCAACAGGTATGGATATATGGGCGACGACGACAATGACGACCAGGACAGCATGGCCAGAGCATGCGGGCCAACGCTGCAGTGTGCTCTGGCGTGCAGCAGCAGTGCATGCGCGGCTAATGCGCCTCAGCGGGCGTCGCAGTTATTCATGGCAGAGGAACACACAGGCACACAGACATGCATGCACCCACACATGATGATATCCAGACATGGGATGGGACTGTGGGGTGGGAGAGCATGGGATGGAAGCACTCCCACTCTTGCTTATATTGCTCATGGACAACCACAAACGGGCCCTTGTACTTGTACTTGATGTCCATGTGGCAGGATGGTGGTATGTGTATTATTATGATGATTATGTAGCTATGTGGGCATGTGCATCCCGTCGGTCCATGGCGCGGCAGATGGTGGTGGTGCCATGTTTGATAGCAGCCAGCAGCGGCGGGCATAGGGTAGGGTAGGGTAGGCAGGCAGGTAGGCAGGTAGGCCAGCCAGGCCAGGGTTCGTCGACTGCTCTGGCGTAAACTGTTTTTCTCTTCTAGGGCTCGTCGTAACCCCAAGCTTTGGCCCGCTGCTGTCCCAAATGGCCCTCATGGCTACTTGAGGCCCTTGAGCCCCCCTTCAAGCTCAAGGACGACGACTTTTGTCCTTTGTCTCTTCTTCTTCCATTGCCGCTCCCTCCATCTTTCTCTCTCTCTCCTTCTCCCTCTCTCCTTCTCTCCGTCTTCGTCGCCAGCCCCGTTTTCGGCTGCTGCCATCCACCGTTTCCATCTCTCCCGCCGGCGCTGAGGGTGCCGTCATCAATCTCTGGCTAGCAATCTCATCTTGGTGTTCCTGTCCATCCATCTACCCGAGTTAGCCTCTGGCCCCGGCTCGCCGTCCCGCTAAACATCGACTTTGGTGTTCTTGCCCGCTATTGCATTTACCCAGCCTTTCGCCCATTTTTGGTGTTGAGTTCTGCACACCCGCCCGCGCTTCCACCTCGCCTCGCTCAACCCCCTCTGCTCTGCATAGCCGCCTGTCAGCATTTTGTGTAGCCAGCGACAGGCACGGCCAGCGTCCTTTTCTTCGTGTTTCTTCTGTGCGCTGCACTCTCGCCCTGTTCCGCGCCATGGACGTAGGCGATGCATCCTCGCCCGGCAGTCTAAGCTCGCCCCCACACTCGCCCGAGCAGGGCACGCCGACCTCGACGGTTCGCGCATCTGCAGGTGGTGTTGGTGTTGGGACTAGCACCCCCACCCCTGCAAACGCGTCGCCGGCAACACATGCGCGAGGCTTAACCGCCAGCGGCCAGCCACGCAAGAAGCCGGGGCCCAAGCCAAAGGCAAAAGACCAAAGTGCCCCCGAGCCAGAGAAGAAGACTAGGAAGCCACGCAAGAGCGAGCCCAAAGACCCAAATGCTGCACCTATCCAACGGAAGAGACGGACAAAGGCCTCCCTCGAGGCCCAGTCGCAGCCACAGCCTCAACCACCACCACCACCACCACCGCCGCCGCCAGCTCCAGCACCCGCACCGGTTGTAGAAGAGAAACCACCTGTTCAGCAGTCGCCCACGCCCCAGAGTAGACCCAGTGAGCCCGCGCCTGTCTTGCAACCAGAACAGCCACCTGCTGTCACACAACCCCCTCGCGTGCTGAGCAATGCCGAACCCACGCTTCACAGCAATCCGAACCTATCACATATCAGTGCCACTCCCCCAGCACCACGCCCATCAAGCTCAGGCCAGCGCTATGATCCAATTCGAGGTGGCATCTTCGAATCCAAACCCCAGCCTGTAGCAAGTGCCCCTCCGCCAGTCTCCCCACGACTCAATCACCGTGCGAGTGCCTCTCCCTCCATTACCAGTCTGATCGATCCCCCATCTGCCAGCAATTCCTTCTACTCTCACCCCGTGAAGCTACCCCAGCAGAACTCAGTCACCTCGGCGCCTGTTTCGCCTGCTGCCTTCTCTACCCGACCCGGGTCGGTCCTTCCTACCCAGGAATATCCACCTCAACCTCCACCCCAACAACAGCAACCACAACAAGAACAGGCCCCGCTTCCAGTCCAGGCTCAAACACATCTGATTGCACCATCGGGACCGACTCCTATGGATATTGACAGTGAGCCCAGCAAGCCAGTATCTGTACCCATGACCAAGTCAAACTCTGCAAACTCCGGCACGCCTTCACAGTCAAATGCTCCAACACCACCCACCAAAGCCGCACGTCAGAAAGAGGCCCCACCACCATTACCTACAGGCAGTGGCTTGTTGTCAGGAACCCCATTTGGCCCAGTGGCCAACGCCAATGGCACATCCGAGACACAGGGTACTAACATTTACCTCCACTTCGATTTGAAGGGACGTGACAACGTGACCATCAATGTCGCACAAGAGGTTGAGAAGAAATACGGGTTTGCGGCTCTTCATCCCCGCATTGCTGCCCGCAAAGAGCGTCAACGCCAAATCACAGCTGCCGGCGCCGCTCTTGAAAGAGCCGCAGGTGGGGGATCAAACGACGACCTTTCTGTCGATCTGTCTGAGAATGAAAGCAATGTTGAGATGGGTGGCATGGATGATGAGACATCGGCCAAGGAGAATGGAGGCAAGAAGCGAAGGAAGAGAAAGCAAGAAGACTACGACAAGGAGGATGACTTCATCGATGACACCGAGTTGGCCTGGGAGCAGCAAGCCCTCATGGCAAAGGACGGCTTCTTTGTATACAGCGGTCCGCTCGTTACTGAGGAGAAGCAACCTGTAGAGAGGTATGTATTTGGCATTGCATTGGGTTGTTCTAGGCTAACAATCCACAGGGCTGATGGCACCATCAGGCGCGGCCGAGGCCGTGGACGCGGTGGCACAGTACGAGGAGAGACATCAGGTCGTGGCCGTGGCCGTGGCGGAGGCCCTGGCTCTCGCGGTGGCTCCACTGTCCGTAAACCTCGCGTTACCAAGGCCGATCGGGCTGCTATGGAACAGGAGAAGGCTGCCCGCGAGTCTCTTGCGCAGACAATTGCAACTAAACAACCTCTCGCTACCCCCTCCCACCAGGCTGGCCAGACTAGTGTGGCGTAACCAAAATACGTTTCCGGCATAAATGACCTCCAATTTACATCAACTAGTGTGAGATGCATCTCAGATGTGTTGTAGATGGTCTTATCGGCGTTGGCTCCGGGATCTTGCAATCAATTACTGTTTTTTTTTTTCATTTTCCCCTTCTTCTGTATCTGATTAGTTACTTGTACGATACCCAACAGTGGGGCGGTTGTGGCATGCCATCTGGCTCGTGGAAAAAAGAAGGTCCGGAGGTTTTTTGTATGCGTAGATATATCGGCACGGCGTTACTGTTTTCACTACTGCCTTTAAAGATTCTAGAAATTATCACTTTCAATACGTGTGTCCTTTTTCTTTGCTGTTGTACACAAGTGACGAGTGGACTTTTTCCACTCTCAGAGAGCTCTTTCCTAATCTCTCCCATTCTTAAACGCCATGACGTAATCTACATACAGAGCGGCTCTGCACTAGTCTAAAGCCATTGTCTTTGACTGAGTCAAGGACGATGACCTACAGAACAGAAATCACATGCTTGAGTTACTGCAGTACCGTGCCTGGCCCGCACATTCCGTAAGTGTTCCATTTGCTAATGTCAAGGAGACATCTTATAGGCGGAAAACTGTGCAGTACGTTATAATTGATATATAAATAGGCTACTCAGGTTGCCATTTCCTGTTCCCGTTCGTACATACATTTTTTGTTTTGGTCAAGATGTCCGATCCTGCTCCTTTTTCTTCCGATACGGCTCCGAAAATGATGTTAATTCAGGATCTTCGAAAAGAGCTTGAGGCAGCTATTGCGTCGGCGAATCGTAAGCCGAAGGTCTATAATAAGACTGCTGCGATACTTGTGCATTTTCAGGATGATGACGTCAAGTGTGGCATTGTGGAGGATGAATTGGCGACTACGTTCCGCGATGTACTCGGTATTGAGAAGGTTGTACGAGTCTCGCTAGAAGCAGAAAAGACAGGCAAGCTCATTTTTGAGAATATACGCGCATTCTTCGAGCTGCACCCGGAAAATCAGTGCGCCGACGACTGTCTCGACATCTTCGTGATTTCTGGCCATGGCAGGCGACATGTCGATATGAGAGATGGTCAGGTAAAGCAGCATACACTCTTGATTAGGTAACTTAACTTCCACCACTCTCTTTTTTTCGTGCGGACTGCTAACAATTCATAACAGCCCCTTCATCGACACTGAAAGCGTGAACGGCAAGGATCCGAAGACGCTTGGTACTCGAGCACTAGACTGGCATTTCGGAACTAGCATCCTCTCTCACGCTTCATGCGATGTTATCCAAATCCTAGACTGTTGCTACTGTCATGGGACTAAAGAATTGGGAATAGAAACACTGGCGGCTACGATGGAATCCGCTGGTTACAAGGAAACCGACACATCCTTTTCTGAAAGCTCTGATTACAACGCTAAAGAAGCTTTCTACATCCCCTTTCACAATGGCAGATGTCTATGTGAGGATGCAGCAGGATCGGAGGGAATTGCAGCTAAAGCATGTTCCATTTGACAAGAAGAATGACGAAAAGGATCCAGTTATGTTTGGAAATTCGAAATCCAAAGGTGGGAATGCAGGTTCAGAGTCCAGACCAGATGATCTACAGGTCCTTGTAACTACACATGTTGACGAGAATCTTAGCGAGAGCGAGGTTGAAGAATTGAAGAATTGGTTTCGCAACACTGTCTCCTCCACTCAGGGGGGTGACTATCAAGGTGGAAGGCGTTTGGAAATCGCTAGTTTCTATCTTGCTCCTCGCTCTTCCAATATTAGTCTGGAATCAGCTGCGTTACAGCAAATTCGCGTGGAATTACGTTGGGCAAGTGACTGCAAGTAACGCGTTGCTACCATAGGCTACGGAGGGGGCATTGCACTTCCTCTCATGCCACCCCAAGGTTAGAAGAACCGAAATCCAGGACTATCTTTTAGGCAGAGGTACCCCGCCTAGGTATAGGCGAATAGCGCCACAAGTTGGTAGGGAAGGTTCGATATGTAGGCGACTTCCGTTTCTAGAGCTCGTTTGTAGTCTCTCTCACCCTCAAGCCGCTAGTGCGTCACTATCAATAGAATCACTCTCACTTTCATTTCTAACTATTTTGTTCTTGTTCCATTTGCAAAACCCTCCCAACTACTATCAATTGTACTCTTCCAACTCTGAAAACCCAGGGACAAAACACTCTGCTGCTGCTTCTGAGAAACGATCAAGAACGTCATAGCCAGCTCTACCACAAAGTCTACAATGCTACCCAGTGCCGACAGCATTACTGAGCGCTCGCGAAAGTTTTACGATGGAACATACACGTGGGATTTTGACGGCTTCACCGACGACATGGGAGGTAAGAGCAAAGGAACAGGGTGTGGATAACAAGGTACTGACGACAGGCAGTATATCGTACTTTTGACTGCTACGACCCGGATGCTCGAGCTCCAACACCGCTGCCTCCTATGTTTTTGAGCGATGATGAAGAAGATGAGGTGCTGCAATGTGGCGCTGGTGCCGACATGGAGACTCTTGCGTTGGCACCAGACGCTGGAAACAAAGGAAGCACAGCAACGGCGCGATGCGATGAGTCGTCTCGTGGTCATGCCGATAAGAAGCATCTCGTTGGAAAGACGGAATACGCCTTGCAAGACACCATCACACCGCCTACTAGTCCCACGGTTAAGAAACTAGACACAGCTATAGTTGGAAACAAGCACACCAATCCCATAACGCCTCCAAAAGACGTCAAATCAAAGGTTCAGAATCCTTCGCCCTCGTCCTCGGGTCTTTCAGACTGTCCGTCAGATCTCTCTGAGTGGGATGTATGCCTTCCGGTAAGTACTCATGCAGATAGCGTGACTTGTTGTGGCACTGCTGAGAAGGTTTTAGAATCTAAGTCAAAAGAAGACTACAAAGACGAGCAAACCGCAAGAGCCTGCTCCGAAACCGACAAAATCAAAAGTTTCGACTCGGGGAGTTGCACAGAAGGTTAAGAAGGTAGTGAGAAAAGGGAAGAAATGATTGTGCAGTGTGGTAGCTACAAGTTCGTTCACTTGACTACTACACTGTTGGATTTGCAGACTGGCAGCTACAGCATGGTCCGTTAGACACGCGGCTATCAAAAAGTACTCAAGCCCACGCTGCTGGTTCATATGCTCAAATGGAGATCAAAAAGTTTTGTATCTTTGTCCTTGCAGGGAAAGAGGCATGTGGTGGTTGTGAACACATCACAAGACGATGGATACTCAAGAGACATTCTAATAGTATCATTCCGACTATTCCAACACAAACGCCCTGTAAATTACTCCTACCCCAAAACATCTCCACACTTTTCCGTCTCGTCATGTTCATGATAAAGCAAACATCTTGCCCCCCTCCACGGCTTACACGCCTCCCATTTACCCTCTTTCCTCGCCCTCCTCGCCGAACTCCCCTGCACCTCCTCACCTCCTCCCCTCCTCCCACCCCGCCACCGCCGTCCCCTCCCCAACACACGCATTACAAAACACCCCTCCACGCCCCTCACACCTCACCGCCCCCTGCCCCGGCACCACCACGCCCCTACAACCCTCACACGCGCCCACTGCACCGCACACCAAACCCTCAACCGATGCCTCCTCACCACCTACTCCGCCGGCCTCTTAACCCCCCACCACCAATTCCCGCATAAACCGCGGATGCCACTCCTCCGGATGTCCCTCAACCAGCCGATCCGTCTTCTTAAACACAAAAAAGATCAACAACTAACCGCCGCACCGCCGCGCTCTCGCGTATCTCGTCGTACAGGACCCAGGTATGCCGATGGCGTAGGCACACTGTTTGTGGTGTCGGCTAACGTGCTGATGGCGTTGCGGGCGGCTTCGAGACCGAGGCGGTCGGCGAGCGCGTAGGTATGCAACAGGGTGTAGTAGGCGGGTTTTTTCCGTCTTTGAAGGGGGTGCGGTATGTGCGTGGTGTGGAGGTGCGTTACTAGCAGTGACAAGTGGCTGGGTGATATGTCGGAGAGGGTGATGCTGCTTGTGCTGGATTTGATAAAGGGGCCAAGCAGGGCGGCGCGGAAGTAGGCAGAATGTTGAGTCAAGAGGTGCGTGTGGAGGTGGGAGGGTGTGTGTTTGGGGCCTACGAGCATGGTGCTTGTGCGCGCGTATTCTTGGGCGTTTTCTTTGGTCACGTATGGCGTTGTGTTGCTGGTCTTGCGGGTGCTTTGACGTGTTGACTGGCTGGCAGAAGAGCCTGGCGAGCGTGTGTGTGTGAGAGAGAGACCTGACTTGAGAGTGCAGTCTGTACGTCTCTCCAATCATATAGTGATGATGAATTCCGTGAAGAGACTTGATTTGCCTCGGATCGGACGCTGCGTGGTACCATAGTGCGTGGCTGTCTCTTCCTCTATCACAAATTCTAACGTCCAGCTCTTCTCTACTTTGCCCCAGATCCACCTGATTCCCAATTTTTCACCAAGTCAAAATAATCGAAAATACCGCGCTAATAGAAAAACTTCGGGACGTTAGTCTTTTTGAGAACAAATAGACTCTCGCTACAGAATCCTCCGTTGTTTTGATTGTTAATGGTTGTTGTTGCGTGAGGATTCGTTGACAAAAGGATGGTCTTGTAAGTCCTTGAGGTTGGCACGCATTGTCTTTGTCGCAACGCACTGATAAAGTAGCAAGCACTGCGCCGCAGGCCGGCCTTTGTCTTTACAAATATCATCTCACATGATAACAGTAGTAACTTTCAAACACTTTTATTCGTTTCATTTTGGCCAATACAAGGCATCTTTAACTGTGACCTCGAGTGGCATAAAGAAGAGATATCTTACCAACTATCTTACAAAAAACACCCCACTATGTGTTCCTAGATTATACAAAAGGGACTCAGTCTACCCTCATCGAAGCGTCGTTTCGTCGTGCCAATGTACTTTTAACATGGCTGTGGAGTAATCCGGTGCGAACTTATGCGACAAAGTTCTTGATGTCTAATGATTTTGTTAGTGCCAAAGTTTTTCTTATTATTTAGGTGGGGTGACCTACTGTTCAGCCACCTGACGTATTCCTTCTGCTCCTTGTGGTCAATGTAGTCGGGGATGAAGAGTGCAAGACGAGTGTTGATGCCACGCTCCTCGAGGTACTTTTCAAGCAGAATCTGGAGGTCCTCATCCAGGTTGTTGAAAGGAGGGCCCTGGGACAAGTTAGATCTGAGACACATCAAGATATCAAGTCGTAACCACATACAGTGTAGAGCGCACGCCTTGCCCAGTCCTTCTCAGCGGTGGCAGGGTCAGCCAGATCAGCTGATGGGAAGTAGTAAAGATCCTCGATCAGGAAGTCGCCATCCTGGGCAGTAGCCTCGATAGCCAAAGCGCCCTTGCCGGGACGCTCGATGCGGATGCTGGCATGGGCAGGGAAGCCCTGCTGTGACTCGTCGTTCTCGTAGTCATCCTCGAGCTCCTCGCGGTCGGCAGGAGCAACGCGGTCCTCGGGCGCTACACGGATGTTTCCATCTGGAGTCTTGCCCTGGTTGATGGCACCCTTGGTGTTTGCGCCTCCAGACTGCACATCCATATCGGCATCATCGAACAAGGCACTGTCCTCGGAAAACTCATCGCCGGCCTGGTTAGTGTTGAGGTCGGCCGTTGTAAAGGTGATGCGGATCTTTTCGTCATTGTACGTGCGGGTCAAGACGACTTCTTGGTTGCCATCCTGGTCCTCAATCTATGTCCATATGAGTATTTGGCTATGCATATTCAAATATGTGGAAATTCTAACCTCAAAGGGGCTGTTCTCAAGATATTCCTTGATGTTTGCTGAGAGATCCTCATCCTCTTTCATGCTCTCCTCCATGGCGATTTCACTGTGGAGCTTCGCAACCAGCTCCTCATTGACTGTTATTTATATTAGCCAACGTATTCTATTTTGAATTTGCGCAATACATACTACCACTATCGTCTCTCCTTGCTGCAGACATGGAGAAAGGGGCTGTGAGCCTGGGCACAGCGACAGTCCATGCTGGCTGGAAAGCAGCCGTCTGGCGCAGAGCAGTTTGCGGGCGCACTGCTTTTGTGGAGAAGCGAGCGGCGGACCGCGGGACGCTGCGGGCGAGGTTTCGTAGAGAAAGCATTGTATTTGCAGAGTTTGTGGTTGTCTTTGCAAAGACACGATGGCAGCAATTGGTTCGTGAAGAAAGAAGAGCGACAAATGCGTAGGCGGCGGGAGACGTAACTTTTCGATGGCCCGAGCTTGCGGGGACCACAAGGTCGATGTGAAGTGGGATGGGCTTGGCGCCGAATTGCGGCGCCGACTGCTTACCTCCGGGCGTGGATAATAATGCAACCAAGTTCGACTGCAATACGTACTCTAGATCGCGGGCGTTTAGGCGCACAAAGCGGCATTTGCATCTTCTTTGCAAACTGCAATTGAACCTAATACCCGTGTAGAAATTATCGCAAGTTCAGCCACGATATCAACACTACGTCACGTCACTATTTCGAGTCACTAACCAAACGACGCCGCGGTCTGCAAGTGCAAAAAAGTCCGACTTCACCAAAGCACATAACCCTACGTGCCCTTGTGGAGCCCAGTTCAGCCATCATGGCGACTGCACAACCAGAGAAGAAGAAGAAGCCAAGTGCTATGCGCTCCATCCTGGCAGGCGCAACAGCCGGCGCCGTTGAAATTTGTAAACATCCACCATTCCGATCAACGGATAGAAAAAGATAGTGTACTGACTCTTTACTCTAGCAATTACATATCCCGCAGAGTGTACGCTCCATATAACCCACCTTACCTCCACCGCGCTGACCGGAACATAGTCGCAAAGACACGATCGCAGCTCAACCGACGATTACCAGACGGGAAGAAGCTACCATGGCCGCCATTTGGCAAGCAATGGTACGCAGGATGCACAACACTGATTATTGGCAATTCGCTCAAGGCCGGCATACGTACGTTTCCACACATACACACATAAACCTCGCGGGTCTCGTCGTGCTGACACAAAAGTTATGCAGGCTTCGTTGCATTCGACATGTACAAGAACCTCCTCGCCGACGCTGAAGGCAAAGTCTCTGGTCCCGCAACCGTCATTGCGGGTTTCGGTGCCGGAGCCACAGAATCGCTATTGGCAGTCACACCCTTTGAAAGTATAAAGACACAACTGTACGTATACACACCTTACCCACATGCCCCCTCCCCACCTCCCGCACACGCTCTCTCTCTCTCTCTCTCTCTCTCCCAAACTGACCAATTCTCTCTCCATCTAGTATCGACGATCGCAAATCCGCAAACCCACGCATGCGCGGCTTCCTGCACGGCTCCAAGGTCATTGCCCAAGAAAAAGGCATACGAGGCTTCTTCCAGGGTTTCGTGCCCACGACCGCGCGTCAAGCTGCCAACTCAGCCGTGCGCTTCTCAAGCTACACATCGTTCAAGCAACTGGCGCAGTCATACGTTGCCCCTGGCGAGAAACTCGGTGCAATTAGCACGTTTGGGCTTGGAGGACTGGCGGGCATCGTTACGGTTTACACGACTATGCCGATTGATACGGTCAAGACGAGGATGCAGTCGATAGAGGCGAGGAGCTCGTATAAGAATAGTTTTGACTGTGCGGTCAAGATCTTTAGGGATGAGGGTCTCCTTACATTCTGGTCGGGCGCGCTGCCTAGGCTGGGGAGATTGATTCTCAGTGGCGGTATCGTCTTTACCATGTATGAAAAGTCCATGGACTTGATGGATAGACTGGATCCTCAGGGTAGGTACATATAAGTCGAAATCAACGCAGGAGCATGCAAAGTTGGCATGGGCAGTGGGCAATAGAGCGCGTTGTCCACTTGGAATTGAAATCTTTCACCAATGGTCATGGATTCAAAAGTATGCGCTTTTTCGTGCTCTAAAAACTTGATTTGAGCTTTCTTGACTCTATACTTGTATGCTTCACAACTAAAACCCGCCATGCTGCTACGACTACGACTGCTACTGCTACTACTGCTACACCAAACGACTAACATACTCTAAAGCCTTCAGCTCCTTTATTGGTCGCCATGCAAACCACTTTAAGCAGCGGCCGGCGCAGGCGCACCGGCAGGCTCAGTACCGGCAGGCGCAGCAGGTGCAGCACCAGGGGTGCCCTCAGTTGTCTGGGGAGGAATAGCAGTGTTGTTGATCGCATCGCCCTCGTTCTTCTTTGCCCACTTGGGCTCCTTTGCCCATTGGGCGTCCCACCAAGGGCCCGCATCGCTCAATGAGCAACCCTTCTCACACTGGCAAGTTCCACCAAACTCCTTGGGCAGGTTCTCCGCAGGCACCTGAGCCAACAACTCCTTTTGGTATCCGCTGCCCAATACGTGGATCTTGGCGCTTGTGACGGGGTCGAGGAACTTCTTGACCACGCTGAACACACCCGAGAATCCCCAGGGCGCGTTGATAATGTACATCTTTCCCAGACGCTCGGGGTAGTAGTTCTGGCTGATGGTGGAGACTTTGCCCAGGTAGCCGTACACAGACGTTGCCTTGCTGATACCAACGCCCTTCAGGTCCATGATTGTGCACGATGTCTCGAGTAGATAACCAGACTTGCGCGAGCAAGCGGGCAGACGCGGATCGGCCATCTTTTCGTATTCGCACACGAGGTTCTGGATCATACGCTCTTCACTCGTAATCTTGTTGAGTGCGGCAAGGTCGACTTTGCCGAGCTGCTCAATGTACACTGGGCGGCCGTCCTACAGAGCAGTTAGCGGTCTATTTGTTGACATGTGGCTTCGACGAGTTCATATTTATTTGTAGCAGATTTCAGACGTACCTTGTCGGTCTTGTGGTAATACTGGGGGTAGTACTCGAAAACCTGAGGCCGTTCGGCGTAGTCAAAAGTGCGGACAAGCTCCTCGACACCCACGCCAGCGTACTCGCTCCTCCACTTCTCGCAGTCAATGAACCTGAAGCCTGTTAGCAGGCCTGTTCTGCGCCCTTTCCTTTTCCTGTATGCAGTAACCGTGTACACTCACATCTTTTTCGAGAGTTCGACATCAAACTTTCGTGCGCGGAGGAATCGCAGCTGCGAAATGTTTAGCATAGGGGGTCGAGCGGCTCTCATAGATACTCATAGGCGTACCAGAGTCAAAGTATCGAGGTTCTTGGTGTGGCCAGCCTGCTCCAAGGCAGTCCTGAGCTCAACCAGAGCTGCATCTTGCTCTGGCGTGGTATGACCGGGATGTCCACTCTGAGCGGTGGGAGAAACAGTGGGATAATCGTAATCGTCATACTTGGGGTCGAGCTTAAGCTCAGAGGCGGGTGGTGCAGCTGCCATGGTATCGTGTATGTGAGAAGGATAGGCGGATGCAAGAAGGGTGTAAAGAAAATGTGTGCAAAAGAGTTACGTGTTGCGCGGCTCTGGGGGAGTAGTCGAAGAGTGCACGTTGATGCTGTCCAAGTGGGTCCCATCATTGCGGCGGTCAAGCGAGTCTAAGACCTCCCCCTCACCAGCTAGCCTGCTCCCCACCCAGCGAATTGTTGCCCCTTATCCCACCTCATGAACCCATTGGTGGCTATCGGCCCACGTCCACAGCGGCCTGCATTCCCTCAATTGTACCATCTCACTTTGCTCGTATTCATTGCATTCGTCACATGACCAAACTTTGTCTTGAACAGATAAACCTTAGTCAGACAAGCTCGGAAGCAAGCGACTCGGCCTTTTTTTGGGGAACGACTACCTAGTTGATACAATGCAGAAAAGAAGAACGCAAGAGGAACCCAGAAAATAGATCAAACAGAACCCATATCGCGAAAAAGAAAGAAAAACACCTATCGCAGAACCAATCAGACGCTTCGCACACCGAAAAGAGAGTAGTGGTCCTTGTGTCGTCAGGCTACCAAAGAAAGCGTGTTCCAGACATAGAACAACAAACATTCATGTGAGATTCGTGTACTAACCGCTGGCATTGCCCATGCCCCTGCAGGATGACCACATCGCCCACCGTCTATCGAGCCACTCACCCCGCAATTGCCAACTCTGAATTGTCACCATAAAGCCCAAAGTGCTATGGGCAGACGATAGCAACCGAACACCGAGTAAATGACGCCTTGGAAACGATGGAGAACGCTATACCACAAGCCTATTGACATGCCCGGAGGCCGACCGACTCGACACCGGTCAATTCCTCCGATCTCGACTCGGCCCAAAGTCAACTTCAGACACCTTCTTTGCCTCTTTCCGGCTCTTGACAATGTATTGTGCGTACAGAGCCACGTGGTCACTGGGAAAGTGGTAGTTCGGGAAGCCTGGCACCCGCTGAAGGTAGCCCTTGTCGATGTCGCCAAGCAGGCCAACCACTTGCAGGGTGTTGGTCGAGTACCAAATGTAATCCAATACTCCTTGGAAGTGTGGAACATAGTTTGTAAACGCCAGCTCGCCAATGGATGCGTAGCTAGACTTGAGGCTGAAGGGATGGGATATTCCGTCTCGTGTGAAGTTACCATACTTCCGGCTTCCCAAATCAGCGTGCACATTCGAAATGTTGCCATTGGTAATGAGGTCGTAGACACCAGAAGATGGCAGTGAATTGAAGTCACCACACAGCAATACTGGGATGTCGGCGGGGTCGGTATACACCTTGGATGGTCCTGGCTCTTGGGTCGGATCTGGCTCCGCTTCGTCATTGTCACCATTGGTAAACTGGTACACCACCTTGTTTGTGCAAGGTGGGTGCTTCGTCCATTGTGTCGCGAACTTGGTGATTCCCTCCATCAAAATGGCAACTTGCACGAGCTTGACGTCTTGGAATGCAGGGTTCCAGAACACGTGTACATTTCCAACAATGAATCTTGAACCAGTAGCACGATTTTCGAGGAATGCGAGCACTCCAATGTCGTCTCGTGGCATGACACGGTTGAAAATGTCGTGCTCACCCTTCATGTCTGGTCTGTTGATGGCCGTGTTGGCGAAATCGATCAGTTGCTTGTCAAGCAGGATGTATCTATACCAGTCAGCGATTTTGCTAATAGAAAGATGCACGTCTCAGTTCACTTACTTGCTATTCTTGTAGAAGATGGCACAGCCATCAACAAGCTTAGCTTCCCTCTCGGCCATAGTGCGTGCTCTGGACTTTGGCCAAAAGACTCCCTTATAGTCATTATGCGCAAGCGCTGCTCGGAAAAATTCATTGAAGCTCTCCTGGTCAATCTCCTGCAAGCATACAATGTCCGCATCGCGCTCTCGCAGTTCGGCCAAGATGAGTTCCCTGCGGCTTTCCCATGCAAGCGCCGAACTGGGCGTGTAACCGTATTGTGATTGCGTGCAGTACTTGTCGCACAGAATATTGTAGCTCAGCGCACTCACAGTTTCTTGAGAGGTATCCTGGATCTCGTCGAGGACAATCCAGTCTCGCTCGGGTGGTGCCTCTGGTCCGGGTGCATTTTCGCGGAAGTGCTTGATGAGTTCCCCGGTACCCTGCTCCATGATAATCTGCTTCAGATCATCCGGAATTGGGTTGCCCTCAATACCAAGCATCTCCAATTGATACAAAGATCCCAATTCATACGGCAAATTCTCGATGTGGTTGTCGAATAGCAACAGCTGCTTCAAATTTACAAGCATGCCAATCTCTGGGGGTAGGTATTGCAGGTTGTTGAGTGACAGGTCGAGGTGTGTAAGGTTCCGTAATTGTCCAATCTTTTGGTGAACATAAGTAAGCTTGTTCGAATTGAGGTAGAGCTTGGTCAGAAAGGTGTAGGCGAATAGCGCGGGGGTGATAACTTTGAGGTTCTGGCCCCCAAAGTCGAGGATGGTCCATATATGCTGGTCTTTTGCGTCCTCTGCTCGCTGAGCAGCAGGTCTATTGCGCTCCTCCTTATCCGCCTCTTTCTGCATCCCATTGGTTGTTCCAGCTACGACGCTCTTGCTGACACTCGGGTGGATCCTGGCATGCGAGTGGGCCTGTGTCATTTCACGCGCTGTTTGGTGCAGCTTCAATTGCTCTTGCCAGTGCTCAGTTTGTGGCTTGCTGAGACCGCTGTGAACGCTGTTCGGGGTACCATTGTGGAGGTGACCGGGGGTGAAGTGGGGCTGAACATTGGACATGCCCCCGCTCGAGATGTTGTGCTGGTGATTGTATTGTCCAACATGGCTGTTCCCAGTAAGATCTTGATGTTGCTGGTGATGTTGATGCTGATGCTGGTGGTGCTGATTGTGCTGAAAGGGCTTGCCAAGGCCCATTTGCATGGCAGCATAGTTTTGCTGCCCTGTCCGCCCGTTCATCATAACGTTGTGGCCCTGGTGCCCATGGCCCTGGTTGAACATACCGAATTGCTGCGGAGACGATTGGCGCCCAGGAGATCGAGCTGGCGAAGGGGTATCGGGGTTATTGAAAGGGATGCGGGCGCTAGTTGTGGGGGATCGCGCGCGAGTGGGAAGGTTTCGTGTGTTCTGATTGTGTCGTGGAAAAAAGGATTGGCCGGTTCCCCTGGGGTAGACCGAGTACTCGGCCATCTAAGGGAGTTCCGGCGGATGATTTCGAGGGGCCCGCAGGCGGCCGTGTGTATCGGGAGTGAAAGGCCCTGGTCGCTATGGCTAATGAAGGCGTCGGGCAGGCGGTAGGATTCGGGCACGCGATTTTCTTCGTTCTAACATGAGCGCCCTTACGACTCCTCGACATGAGCACGCGCTAGCAGAGGCGGGAGCTGTGCACCATGTACTGGAGGCGCCGGCGGTTCGCAAGTGAGGGTGGTCTAAAGCGGGGAGTCGGCAGTGAGCGCGGGTTTGGGTTCGCTCGAGGCTCGGGGTTGTGGCGGTGAAAGGGCCGGGGCGCTGCTATGTGTATTGATATGTCTGCAGGCTATTGTTCTGGAGCAGTCAGCTCTGTGGTGGTGGGGAATCAAAGAGGTTGGAGCTGCAGTGGGTGCTGGTGGAAGCGGGTGGAAAGCAGCGTACTTACAGGAGCGGAGCATGTCAAAGAGCGCGCAGTATTTTGCTGTCAGTCGCAATTGTACCAGACAGACGAGGAGAGGGTCCAACTGCAGCGCTGTGAAGAATAGAGAGCGTAGTGATGCGATACGTGAAGCCTGAGAGTCGAACCTTGCCCGATGCATGGGGGGTTGCCGCTAGACGGCACACGTGACATAGTGGAAGCGTCGATCTGGTGCGCTGAAACGACACATCTGTCCCCTCGCGCGCCGGCCTTGGTAGTTGCACGCATCCTGTGTCTGGGCTGCAGCAACAGCAGTGTGACTGGTGGGATTGTCTCTCGGACGGAGTTGCTTTGGGGGGAATTGTCTACAGGAACATGTAGGGCACACTCGAGGGAGGTGGTCCGCGCGGGCATTCAGGCTCACGAGCGCTCCATGGGACAGCAGCAGCAATAGTACGCATACGTAAATGTACATGCGTACATGTGTCTTATGTATGGATACATACGTACACACATGGTAATGATGGCCGTAGACGCTGGGTCTCCCCCAAAAAAAAACCACATGGCCCAGATACGCAATCACACACGCGAGTGTATACCAAGTACACATGTACCGACATGTGTGCATACATATATATACACACTGTTGCTGCTACTGCTGCGGCTAACCTAGGAGGCACTCCCCTACACAAATCATGGATGCCATCACCTGCAGCGCGCACCGTCGGCCGATGCCGCGCCCATGCATACGGCGGCCCTCCAGAGCAGCTTCGGTCACAGCGCCCACATTTTGCCCAGCGGATTTGCCCTGGAAATCCGGGGGGGCATCACGCAGCCGCAGACGGTGATTGGAGATGTCTCCTCGGCACGATCCAGAACTCCTCACCTGAGCGGCCTTGTACTCCCGGGTGCGAAAGCGAGATGCATCCATTGAAAGCCCCCCTTCCCCCCATACATACATACTAAACACATTCCACTCGCACTCGCACTCGCGCCTCAACTATGCTGCCACCTCGGCCTGCTCTGACATCCCCCCGCTGCTGCACTGCGCACCGTTGCTACCACGACCGCTCTTGCTGCTCCGCTGTCCCGCTCGTTGATTGCTGACTCGCCTACACGTGCTTATCAAGACGGCCAGGGACAAGGCCAATATCACGCTCCCGCTAAAAAACAGTGGGGCAAGGGTCGGGAGTAGGCTGGATAACTCTAATCACGTTTCCAGACGGTCTCGATGGGAGACTGGCAGCTGGCAAGGACTCTGCTGACGCTGTTTCGAATTTACATTGGGCTAATTTCCTCGCCAGTACCGCTACTACGGCGCCAACCCTACGGCCAGCCCTCCATCGCGCCCAAAGACTGTCGAAGCAAAGCAATGGGATCTGGCCACCACCGACGCCCTCGGTAGAACCATCTCTGCGTCCTCGACCACCGCCTCGTCTGGCCCGCGCCCTCACTCCACCATGGACATCACCAGGGGCTCCATGTCGAGCAACTCAAACCTGAGTACCAAGGACGACGGCACCACCCCCAACGAACCCTTCATCCTGCGCCATGGCCGCAGATACATCCGACGCGCTCAAGGCTACCCGCTGCCATGCGACCTTCCCGAACTCCACCGCCAGAATCTGCAGACCCTTCTTGCCACGGCCGTCTTCGGGAGGGCCCTGGGCTCTACCCCATCACACGCCCCGAAAAAAGTCTTGGAAGTCGCATGTGGCACAGGATACTGGTCGGCTGTCTGTCACGAATGGCTGAGTGGTACGTACACCTGCTGACCTTGGCGCGCTCTCCGGGCTGTCCGGGCAGAGAGGCCTGCGACTTCCCTTTCGCCATGTCTACATACCCCGCTGCCACTCAGTGTTAACAATGAACCAGGTCAGGGCTACGAAGACGTTTCTTTTACCGGATTGGACATTGTCCATGTAGCCGGAGACTTGCAACGCCAGGGCATTGACTGGAAATTTGTGCAACACGACTTGCGCAAGTTGCCACTGCCGTTTGACGATGAAGAGTTTGACATTGTAGTCATGAAAGACATGAGCATGGTAGTCCCCTTGGGGGCGCCAACACAAAGGACACTTGACGAGTGCATCCGCATTCTCAAATCTGGCGGCACGCTAGAGATGTGGGAGACTGATCACATTATCCGTTCCATCATGCCTCATCCCCCGCCTCCGCCAGGCAAGAATCCTCAGGATTATGCCTGTGCCGTATCAACTGGTACATTTCTTATTTCGCACACGACGCCCTTCACCGACGTCCAGAACAAGTACCTCCAAGATGCAAATGCATGGATCCAAGAAGCCCTGGGCCGACGCAAACTCTCCCCAGCCCCGTGTTCGCGCATCTCTCAGATACTGCTCCAGGAGACGGAGACGCTGTGCGAGGTAGAAAACCGCCGCGTGGCGATTCCGCTTGGCGAACCGCGCTGGGAACGCGAAGCAGCAGGCGACACAATGAAGCGACGAGGGAGTGAGGCTGGGAAGCTCAAGATGGGCGGATCAACCATGGATGGCTCTACCCTGACGCAGGAACAAGCGGCCCTTCGGCACACGGCGCTCCTTGTTGTTATTCAGCTGATCGAAAGCCTCGAGCCGCTGCTCAAGGACGTCAGCGGCAAGAATCAGGAGGAATGGCAGCGCTACTGGAATTCCATGATCAACGACCTGCTCGAGCAAAAAGGAGCCTCGAGTGGCGAGTGTCTTGAAATTGGAATCTGGTGGTGCAAAAAGGTCTGAGATTTGATTGGTGTAACCTCTGTTTTTCTTGAGCTTTTTTCTCTTCTTTTCTTTCTGTGATATCCCGGTCTACGGCAGGCCATCGTTGGCAGATGTTAGTTTGTGTTTGTCAGTGGCTAGGCACCTGTATCGTAGCGCTGGCGCAGAGTACGGTAACGCTTGAGATAGTATCTGTACCATGTTGTTAGCCATAAAAAAATATTTTTGGAATCAATGTTTTTTTGGCTCTTTTATAGCATGGACTTACAAAGCTTCAATTTCTAAACCATATACATATTAGCAGTGAACGTATGACAGGGTTGTTGTATTATTAGAAGACTAACCTTTCTTCACGTACTCTGCCCTCTCGATGCCTTGCTTAATCTTGGCCTCATCGGTCAAATGCCGCTGGCTTGCGAAGGCCTTGTGTAGACGCGTACGAAAGTAATCGTACCCTTGAGGGTACTCTCGGCCCATGTAAAGCAAGTCTGTTCCACGTGAGTATAAGTTTGGCAAAGATTGGGGGGGGGTACGACGGACCTTTGTAGATCCGGATGACTTGATGGCGAAGCGCTGGGTTTGGAGTAGTCATGTCTGGAGTAGACGAAGTGGAGTGGAATAGAATTTCGTTTCTTTTCTGAGAGAAAAAAACCAATATGGTTGTGTAATTAGATTGGTACTTTTCTTTTCGTTGTAGGTGGCATGAGCTGGGTGCACGACAAGGTATGTCGTAGTGTGATGAAAGCAGAAGGATGCGCTCGGACCGCGTTCCTGACGTAGGTACATAGGTACGTAAGGTTGGTCGAGTCGAGGTGGAGAGCTGGAGAAGCGGGGACCTCGGCTGCTTTGCCGCTACCTGCACATTGCCATCTCCAGATTCGCCGTGTTGCTTTTGCAGCGCATTTCCAAGCTTTTGTGTATTGTTGTTTTGTCGGCATGCCACCATTACTGCGCTCAATTGTCTGTGGGGTGAAGCCAACTAGGCAGCTTCCAAGTGTACAGCGTGTCTCTTTCCAGCGGTATCAGTCGACGTCAAGTGGTATGTAGATATACTTTGGGAAGGTACAATATGATCAACTAATCACCGTGCACTGTGCATGCAGATAACGCACCTGCCACAGCTGTTCTCAGTCCAAGATGGCTCTCAGATGTCAAGCTGCGCATTGGAAAGTGCATTAGTTTTGGAATCAATCCAGCACAAGTCGAGGAGGCCGGCTCGATATTGCAAGAGACATCGGAAGATTGTAAGCATTCAACTTGAAAATTTATTTCTAGTGCTTGTGCATGATGAAGTTGCTAACTTGTTTGTGTTTACCAAGGGAGAGAACTCGTAGCCGGAAGCGAGGGCTTTCTTACTGGCAAGCAATGGCGTGGGCTCTACCGGCAAGAGGTTGTTTGGGGAGAGATGGTCAGCTTCATCATCCAAGACTTGTGTAGACGACTGCTAATGTGGATGTTGGCTGCGTGTAGGATAGCATGGTAGGTCGACTCCAATGTGCTAGTGAATGATTGCTAATTGACTCAAAGGGTACTTAGCTAAAGACGTCGTTATGTACAGGCAGAGTCTCTAATTGTTTCCAGGTCACGTGAACAATGTCATGTACAATCGATATGCTGAGTCTGCCCGGGTCAACTGGACACTGAATTTTGCGGCTAGCGACCCGCAGCATCGGGCTGAGTGGTTGGAGCTCATGACGCCGAAAAGCATTGGCTTGATTCTGCGGAGCATCAAGACTGACTACAAATTTGTAAGAGAAGGCATTCTATCCTCTGCTTTTGTTTGTCTGTTTACTAATGTCGAACACAGCCAATGACATGGCCAGACAGGTGTGTTTGCCGACGCAACAAAGCAGTCCCGTATTAACACGTGCGCCACCAGGGTCACGGTACTCCACAAACTCCGCAACAAGCCTAGTCAAGGCAGTGATCATTTCATTCTCGATGTCATGATTCTATCAGAGGCACATCGCCGTCCGGCAGCGCGTTGTATTGAAGACATTGTAGTTTACGACTACAAGGCGGCCAGAAAGTCACCACTACCACCTTTTATGATTGAAAAGTTCCAGGAAACGTTCAACTTGCAGGAGCAAGCCAAGGCAAGAAACAGTGGTAGGGTTAAGGGGCTATTGGATAGGGTGAGAGCATTGGAGAAGGGCAGCTGGGATAGACCAGATGCTAAGGAGGACTTTGGAAGTGCGAATGATGCATAAGCCCGTAGCAGCCTATCACTGAGGCCGATCACGTGGTGAACAGCGGGATTTATGAGTGAGAGAAGAATAATACAAGGATGAATCATACGTTATGATTGCTTTGCTTAGAGGACGAATGTACATGGTGGTGTAGTGGTGAGTAGGATTGGTCGAGGGCGGCGGTTGCATGCATATCACGTCATGTCGCCTGCAGTCTAGTCGATGCAACATGCGGGGTTTTTTTGCAGGCAACTCTGGATCATGCCATAGTAGCAGCGGAAAAGAGGGATATTGATGGCGGTGGGTGGAAGAAAGCAAGTTGGCGTGCAGGACAGGTGGGCGCAGGGGATCTGCACGTGATGGGCGATGGAAATTGCCTGTTGCGGGGATCTGCGCGCCCGTTGGACGCGTGATGGTCAAGCTTTCCCTTGTTTGCACCGCTGCCCCGCTGCCATTGGCGCAGTTGGGCTAAGCTTCTACGCCGGCAGTGTGCAGATTGCGGAAAAGGCCATGGATGTGCGGGCGGATGGCTTGCGCGCTATGCTCGCCGCAATCCAAGACAAGTACACACAGATTGACGCAAATGCTCCGATGGCTTTGTCTGCAACAGCCGAACCGTGTGCCCGAGCCTCGTTGACGATGGGGCTGGATATGGTGCGGTCTGGACAGCTGGCACGGGCACGGCCAAGTTAGTTACATGTGTAGTGTACATGTGTAGATGGTATTAGCACATGGCCTGATGGCAGCCACCGCATCATGTCTCTGCGCGCTGAAGACGAAGAGACGCGAGTAATAGACGGCGTCGCTGGCGGGGATGTGCCCGCTGCAGAGACTTCATGGCATGTGGTCAAGAGAGGAAAGCGCGACTTTGACTTGCCCGGAGCGGGCTGTGGCACAGGGGGGTCCCGGCGCCCGCAAATGAACGGCCATGCTAGAGAGGCCGGCGGAATCCCGCCCACGAATCTGATGGATGGTGGTGATGATGCTGGGACAAAGAGCATGACGATGATGCAGCTGATGCAGACAATGGCAAGACAGGACCCGCCCGACGCAACACAGACGCAACGCAGATGCAATACCTCTCTGTGCGGACAGGCCAGATGAACGGGCAGTCTGGCTTGCATGTCTTGCGCGCAGCAACCATCGTGGGCTTAGTGGCTACTTACGATCGGCATCGTCAAGAGAAATCGGTCTCAGTTCGGCTGATGTGGGTATCGACGGAGCCAGGAGAGGGAGCCAGGAGAGGGAGCCAGGCGCCAGGCATCTTGTACTATGTACCCAGGTGTACATTGTTCATGTGTGCTATGCATGTACCGACGTAGACATGTGCGCGTGCGTGTGCGTGTGTGTGCGATTGAGGTGAAACCCACGGGGTACTTAGTTACGGTAGAGGTGGCAGGCCGAAAGACCGAGGGCGGATGACAATGGCAAAAGGCAAAGGCATTGCAGCGGCAATCAATCAATGCCCTGGCCAGGGGGGCCCAGTGGCACCATCAAGGCACGCCGTGCTGGTTGACTGCTCTGACTTTTCTGACTTTTTGCACTTGACGTTTGCGCAGACAGCAGCGCGGCTTGGCAACAGGCGGAAAGCTGCGAGTAGCCACGCGCAGGGCACCTCACACACTCTCTTGCTCCCCCATTCATCCCTCGCAGCCCAGCACACGACGCCCTTGCTTGCCCTTTCCCCTCGCCGCCGCCGCCCCCCCTCGTCCTCACACCACCCCACCGAGCAGCGGCTCTCAGTCTTCCAGTCTGGCTCGTCCTGTACAGCAGTCGAGTCTCGCCGGGGAGACGTTTGCCCGCTTGCACCCGCACCCGCACCGCCGTCTATGGTAGCAAAGTCGAAGAGGACCGCGGCGCACGACAAGCGACACGAGAATGGCCTTGCCGCCCCCGGCAGACGCATCGACAAGCAGAAGAGCAACCCGGCCCTCAGTGCCAACACCCCCAATGGGAAGACCACGGCACAGCCCAGGCCCCAACCCGGCCATGTAGCAGACAACAGCGACACGGCGCCAGCAAACACGCTCCTTCACCACGACGCCGCCTCTGCCATCATGCCTGCCGCCACCCCTGCCGCCGCCGCCGCCTCGTCGTCCTCTACCTCGTCGGCCACCCCCTCCGCCTCCTCCGCCATCACCACTCCCGCTGCCCCCCACACCCGCTCACACGACCGCACGCGCGCCGCTTCGGACGCCTCCAACGACAATTCCACAGATGCCTGCCGCCCCTACGACAATGCCACGGCCCCCTTTGACCCCATGTCATCGACCCTCCGCCGCGCAGACACCACAGGCTCCAAGCACGCTTCGCTGTCCATGACCACCATGCTCTCTGTCCCCGCCACCATTCTCACCTCCTGCCCGCTGCGGGACGTGCTCGCCATCCTCATCATCCTCCTCCAGCTCCCCCCAACCGTCCTCACCGTCGTTCAGTTCCTCTTCGCTACCCTCACTTTTGTCCCGCCCCAGGCGGGCACCCCCCTCTCCGCCCTCTCTGCCTTTCCCTCCTTTACCGATATCTTCCAGGGCTCCGGCGGCACGCCCTCGCTCTTCACCACAATCATCGCCGACACCGTCATTCTTATGATATGGCTGTTGCTGTGGGTCCCTGCCCAAAACTTCTTCCTCGACCTGGCACAGGCCGTCATTGCCATCGCCCTGGGAGGAGCTGCAGCTGGAAAAAAGGGCACAACCAATAGCATCGTCATATGCTTTCTTATTATCTTCACCAGCCACATGTTCAGATTCAGGCCTCTCCGGCAACACATTGTCCACTTTCTTTGGACAGGGCTCGCCCGGGGAGGCCTTGAATTTTTGACGAGCCCCCCGAGTACGCCGACCTCATTGGAAAGCTTCTCAACCCCCCATGGATGGCCTCGCAGCCTCCTGGGCATTCATATTCTAGCCCAAGGTGTCGTTCGCATCATCCGACGCTCTCTGTCTCGACGAGAACACACAACTCTACCTACTGGCAAGAAGACAGACCCCGAATCTGGTGTGCTTCAACGCTCAAACTCTATTAACCATGAACCAGCTGCCGATGTGCCCAATGCCTCGAGCACCGACGGCCGCCCCCCGGGGCCGTCGCCCGCCGTACACGCACACAAAGATAAAGCAAGTAGTGGTAGGAGGAAGAGAAAGCAAGCCACTCATGTTCGGAGTCAGCAGCCGTTTTGGGCTGCACTTGCAAGTACAAAAGTTACTGTTTTAAAAGAAATGGAGAGTAGCCGGGCGGCAAACGATGCCGACGAGGCTAACGCAAAAGACGCAAATCACATTGGAAACGCTGTTTGGAGACCGGAAGACGATCGTGTTTGGATTTCAGAAGTCGGCTTTTCCGACATTTCATTTCGGGTTAGTTTAGCTGGTGGAGCTGGTATGCAGGAGCAGAACGAGGATGATTCGAGCGTCGGGTCCGGCATAGACAAGTCAAAGCCATTCTACATCCGTGTCAATGGCGCCGATTGGAGCTCTGCCCGAATTCGGCAAAGCGAGCCTATTGATTTTGAAGGCCAGGAGGGAACGGGCTACTGGGTAGGGGAGATTTTTGGGTTGACGGCACTGTCCAACTACTACTGCGAGTTTGTCAGAACCAACGACAACGAAGTCTTCTACTCAGCCAGTCTTATTACCTCTGCCAGCCCTGTCACCGAGCTCGGTAAGAATGACTATCTATGTTATATTTCTTTGCTAACGCGGTCAGCTTTAGCCTCCATTGCCTCCCCACCAGCGCATCAGACCCTACGACCTTCTTCGCCTACTACGACATTGAAGAACTCTATTGCAGCAGCCGACCAGCAGTTGCAAGAGCAACGCAATCGCCTGAAGCGCAACAAAAAGGACCACAAATCTGCCATCACCAATATCAAGAAAGAGGTGGATACTCTCGGAAACCGCCTTGCCAACGCTGGTGGCAGTGATGAACGCCAGCGCCAGCGCGTCCTCCAACTCACCCAGAATATTCGCCAGGCCGATGATGCAGCCGCAGATTTCGCCCTTCAAGCAGAGAACATCGGATGCATTCCCGAAGAGGAGTCTAAGGAAGCCGCAGCCAAGAAAGCCGAATGGAAGAAGGAGCGCGACAACAAGAATGCTATTGCGAGCGAGTTCGATAAGAGCAAGGAAGAGATTGAGCGCCAGGTTCAAAGCGGCCAGAATGACATTAACAATGCTTACCAGAAGAGAGAGCGTCTTCAGCAGCGTCTTACCAGGCTCAACGAGCAGCACGACCGTCTTGTCACCGCCAATGCCGAAGGCTTCACCGCCAAGCAGCGAAGAGAGCAAGAACGTGCAGCTTTGCGAGCACAGCGTGCTGAAGTCGAGCATCAATATCGGAGCAACATCATCAACTACGAAAGGCGAACTGAGGAGCAAAATCTCTCGACTACTCAAATCATGCAAACCGTGCAGCATTACGAAGAGCTCATGATTCAGCAAGCCCAGCAACACATGTCTGTTCCGACCACACCTGATGGCAATCTCCCTGGCACAAGCATGTCTCCTCATAACAACGGCTTCGCCAGCTTCACGTTCCCGTCGCTCAATTCTCACATGAACAGCACTCCTGGTTCCATGCGTGGTGGTCGCGGTCGCTCTTCGTCGATGCTTTCCAACGTATCCGGCTTCACTGACGCTTTCGATGAACCCTCCTCTATGGCCCCCTATGTGCTTGGCAATCCTTTCAATACCCCTGGACCCGTCAATGGACGCAACCGCAGTCATGGAAGTGGCAGTTTGAGCTCGGGTACGTCGAGCCAAACTTCGAGCCAGAGGGATCCCATGAGTCCTATCCAGAGTACCAAGCCCATGATGGTTCGAAGCGCAACGAGTGGTAGCAATGGTTTCATGAGTCCGATTGGCACTGGTCGATAAAAGTGTGGGAAAAAAAAACGGGATCTGTTCTTTTGCCGGATCTCCTACGTAGCTCTCCAATGTGATTATATGTGTTCTTTTGGTTTATCCAAAATTCGTTTATACGATTCGTTACCTTGCATTGTGTATGTGTCTACTATGTAGTGATGATGTATTGTGCCTGCCTTGTCTAACACGCAGTGTGTTTAGTATTACGATTCCGGATTACAGTAGTCTGGTCAGTATGCTTTGTACACTTGACAACACTACATCCTGTTCACACTCTTCTCCTCACATCAAGCTAACAGATTATACTTCAGCATATAATCAACTCACTTGACAATTGCTCCAATACATGAGGGGTAGATCCAGACCTCAACCCCCTCATTTTCTTACCTTCACACATGGAGAGAAAAAATGTATGTAGAAGTATTGTTGATTTCCTTCTCTTTTTGAAATCGAAACAAAATGAAAAAAAAATGGCGATATTCTAGGCCATTAACGTACACTTTACGTCCGTCATCGTGGTAGTCTAAAGAGATACAGTTTCGTGTACTTAATCTGATGCTCACAAGTCCTACTACACCTAGGCTTTTTCTTTCACCTAGCACCATACTCGCAATGAAATGGATCCAAAAAACAACGACAACAACAACAATCAATTCAGTTCTATTTATTGCACATCTGTCGAAGAAAACCGCAGACCAATACAACTATTACAAAGAAAGTAGCACCATATAAAAAGAACACCATTGAGCTTTTACTAGATTACCAGATATGTGCAAATCATGTGGTAGGCACTAAAAGGACCTCCTCTCCGCTCATCGCAATGACTGAGGTCCATCCCACACCCAAGAAAAGAATTCCCCCTTCCCTTCCTCCCATTTCACGAGCAGACTCTACCAAGGCACAACGATCTTTTTGCGCGTACCAAGAGTAGAGAAGGCGTGTTTTTAAAGTACAAGGCCCTAAACATGAAAAGGAAAAAAAAGAAGAAGAAACAGGAAAATATACCGCTACGCCTTGCTCCCATATACACATGTATTTCCCCCTCACAAAACAAAACAAGAGGCCCTGTACTCATTCTGTACCACGTCTGATCTTGGCACTCAAACAACCAATCTCATGCAACAAGCACAACCGCTTAGATACGATGCTTCTCCGATTCTGCAAAAATAACATTAGTCCTTGGTACTCCTCTTATCGAAATGAATCCCACTAACCTAGTCGCGAGTACAGCATGTACAGCGCCATTTGATTGCACTCTTGTGTACCTGTAATGGTGACGAGACGCTCGTTGCTATTGTCAGTAGGCTCGTTGATCTTGATGACACTGCCACTGAGCTGGCGAATTTCGTTGATCTTGGCACCTCCCTTTCCGATAATGGCACCAACCATATCGTTGGGAATGAAAATCTGTTGCGTTAGAGGCTGTCCAGGGATGGCACTAACGGGCGCATGAGGAGCGGCACCGTGTGCAACAGGCGCCGCAGCTGGGTGAGCGCCATAGGGAGTGGGGGCAGCAGGTCCGCCATAGGGACCGCGGCTGGGAGAAGCAGCGCCGTAGGGCATGTTAGGATGGCCATATGGCGATTGCTGAGGAGGCTGGCCGTGCATGTGTGGAGCGGCATATCCGCCATGAGCTGGGGTACGTTGAGCAGGCTCCTGGCGACGGAAATTCTGTGGGTGAGAGTACTGGCCTCCAGCAGGTTGGGGGACATATGGTTGAACAGACATGCCACCTGGAACAACATTGGCAGCCATACCGCTGCGGGTCGCGTATTGGGAGGCTGCAGGGCCACCGAATCGCTCGGTCAGCTGCTCAACCAGAGTCTGAGCAACATAGTACACGGCAATGTGCACGGCGTCGGCAACACCGAGAACGATCAACGAACGTTCGCCTGAGTTAGGAAGGAGTGTGTCGGACGCGTTCAACTTTGCGTTGGAAGCCTCCTGAATTTCGCGGATACGAACACCAGCCTTACCAATGATTGATCCAATAAGAATGTGGGGAATGAGCAGGCGCATGGGGTACGCCTTGGAGGTAGACGTTGAAGGGGTCTCGAGGTCCTCTTGGTTGAGAGTGCGTACAATGAGACCAAATGCCTTGGACACAGCATCGACTTGGCCGCTTACAGTAAGGATGCGTTCAACAGCACCTCGCGAATAGTCACTGACGGTGCACTTTGCGCCAGACAGACGTCGGATTTGGGTCACGTTCTCTCCGCCCTTACCAATAATGGTGGCGGCCTCGCTGGTGCCAATGCAAGCGCGTACATGCAGCCAGTTGGTCTCGTCAACCTGTTGGTTGGAGTTTACAGGGCGTCCATTGGCACCAGATGTGGATTGAATGGGCTGGGTCTCAAGAATAGAGGGAGCGTCAGGGACAACAGTGTCCGTCTGGATAGGCTCAGTACCATTCTCGACGGCGGGGGTTGCGACGGGTACCACCTTTGCCTGCTCTTCGCTGATGCCTTCAACAGCAACAGCTTCTGCTTTGACCGGCTGCGCGATGTCGATGGCGTCTGCGCTGGGGGCTTCATCCTTGACCATTTTATCGAGGGCAGGGCGCTTGGCATCGGGCTGGTCGTTGAGTCCGGCAGGCGATGAGGGCTCCTCGAGCGGACGCTTGGTCGAGGAAGCCGCAATGGTGGGTGATGCAGACATGGCTTCTATGTATGAGTTTCTGGGTCTTGAGAGTCTTCAACGGCTATATACGCTCTTCACAGTCGACGAGCGCGCAAACGCGATGTTGAGATTGTTTCAATTGATCTCGATTATCTTTGCGACTTTTATGTACAGCGGGGGCCGTGAAAGAAAGCGTGCTGTGAGGGCGGATTGGAGGGGACCGCGACAGCGCGGTAGAGGTGCGTGGAGGAGAGGTCGCCAGGAACGTGAACGGAGTTTTGGGGCGTGCAGAGGGTGCAGACGTCGGACAAGGGATGCCTCGACAGAGTGGGCAGTCGTAGGTGATGGTGTTGTGATGGAGCAGGAGAGTCGGGCAGGGTGAGTGGATGGATGTGATAGTGTGCTTCGCTCGGGGGCGATGGATGTGAGGTGAGGTCGAGAGATGAAGAAACTGGCCCAAGTAAAGAAAGCTCGCCCGTCAAACCTTGTCGGCAGCGATCCGGTGTCTCAGATAAGGGAACGTCTGGTGTTGCGTGCCGTTCCTCCCGAGCAACAAGGCAATGGGCAGGAGAAGGGGGTTGATGAGGGCTGGTGATGGAGAAGGAGCTTGGGGCGATGGACGGGGTCAGCAAAGCGAATTGCGTGAGGCAGAAGGCGCCGGCGGAGCGAAAAGGAAGCTGTCGCGGGGAGGTTGGCGCTAAGTCTTGGCAGGTCACGTGCTGACGACTGCACTGTGCCAGCATACGCAAACACCAGGAGACACAGGCAACCTGCAAACGCGCTCTCCTTTCAAGCTTCAGCGTGCACTGCCCAGACGTCTACGAGCGAGTGGGGGTGAGGTTGCCGCGCGCCAGGTACAACGCGTCTGTTAGCGAAGCTGCGCGACCACCACACATCACACCAACCGCGTTGTAAAAGAGATATGGCACAGGCACCGGATCAGGCTATCCAGCGGATACGAGAGTATGCCCAGGAGGCACGTAATCTGCACGACGACGCTGTCGATTTCGACGCGTCTGACACGGAAATTCGCCTGGCACAGACGGTGAAGGAGCTGCAGGCACGCGTACAGGAACAACAGGCAGCGCTGGACCAGGTAAGAAGAGACTGCAGCCACGGTCTCGTCGAGCATTGCTAAACGGACCACAGTTGCGGTCTCAATCCAATCTTGACATAGACAGCATAGCCTATGCATCAGAAGATCCTCATGAGAAGTTGCAACAACTCATGGCAGTCAAAGATGCATATAAACGCTTGAAGCCGACTGCGACATATCTGCCTCCTCAAGGATCACTTCTGCCAGCGCTGTTAGCCGCCCGTAGCATCCAGCAGAACGTACGGGGAACCAAGGAAGCCATTGCCAGCACGCAGTCCCAGTTACTTGCAAAAGAGACAGCTCTCCGTCGCGAAGAAGCTAATCTGCACGATGCCAACCGCCTCACGCAGTCCATGGAAGATCGTATCCAGCGGCTACGCTCCCAGCACCAAGACCGCTCGCAAAAGACGCCTGCCCAGCTTGCACGTGAACTGATTGCTGCCAAACGCGCGCAGAAAGAGCATTCCGACGCGGAAATGCAGCGTCTAGGTGAAGCGATGAATGACTTCATCAATGACTACCTCTCTACCATGCTCGCAGCTGAAGAACTGGGCGGGCCAGTCGTAGGCGACATGTTTGACGTAGACGACGACACCCTAGCCGCGGGCTTCACCAAAAAAGGGCGAGCAAAATCCTCCAAGAAGCCTCCATCAGACAAGACTCGACAGCGCCGAATCGACCAGATCTGGGGGCCCACCAAGCCGGCTGCCGATCAAGATGACGATGACCACGAGGAAGAGCCACCGCCCACCGAGGCGGAAGCAGCTGACGCGGAAATGCGGAAACTAATAGGCGATCTCTTTGCTACGCTCATGGGTCCGGGGGCAGGCAAAGCCTATGTTCAGCTCCAGAGAGATTCCGCGGCCTCCCGGTTCCTGGTCCGAGCAAAGATTGCCCAGTTCCATCCCAAAGATGCAAACAAGTTGCGTTTGATAGATTTTGGACGGGAACTAGATGATTGAAGAAGGTTGTTTGGGAAAGATGGAGAACCAAAGGAAAGAAAAAAAAAGGGGGGGAAGGGGGTTCAGAACACCAATATTAACAATGATAACTCTTGGATCAATGTTTTTTTACTACTCTTCCCAATATACTGGGCAATGGAATCAAGCCAACTCACTAACTCCCATTTTCCCTTTCCAACCTCAGCTGTGGCGGTGCAAAGCCAACCTCCTAACCTCCTTTTCCCCCCCCCCCATGCATCCACATCCGCATTGCCCAACCCGCGTCGGCGGCGTTCTCCCCCCATGTTCTTCTTTTCTTTTTCGCTTCTTCGCTCCCGCACTTCAATACATTGGGGCTGGGGATCCCTTCCTTCCACTTCCATACTTTGACACGGCCCACATGCCTCTTTTGTGCAAAAAAACCAATAAAAAAATACCCGCAAATCAATGATTCCCAAGCCTATAGTCCCCCATTGACGCCTCTCCCATCATCCCTTCCCGATGTATCTCACTCACTCTCTCTCACTTCCCGCCCCCCCCCCTCCCGAAACCAATGCTTCGGACCCCCGACACGTCGGTGTCACCGGGACCTAGCAAGGAACAAGGGAATAAAGGGTTCCCTCATTTGGGCGCATGCGCGCGCGTCTGCGTCCTCCGCCCCGCGCGTCGGACAACAGGGTACGGAAGGAGTAACTGATTGTACCTTGTACATATAACTAGCAGAAATACGGATACGCATCTTTTGCATCACGGGGTGCGTGCGGGCGGGCGGGTTGCAACTATGGACTTTTCTTACATTCTTTTTAGGCCATATATGCCGAAGGAATTATACGTATTTGACCAGGTCGCGTAAACCAGACTATGCTTGATCCGCGCATGCGCTTTAGAGGAGAGAGCAACATGGGGTTCCATATTGTTGTTGATTCTTTCCCCCCGTCCTGGCTGGGGCTTTTGGCCGAAAAGGGAAAGAGGGAAAGTTGAATGAACACATAGAAAAGTGTCATGGCGGGGGGCACCGGGGCGCTGGCCAGTGCTATCATCTTTTTTGGTCGCGCATAGACTTATACGGAACTTGCAAGGTGTGCTTTGGACTTTTGTGTTACCAAATATCCTATTCCGGTTCTCATTGCGAGAAGGTCCATTCTCTCCTCAGCCCTCGTATGGAAAATTTGGATTATTCTGATTACTGATACTCTGAAGAAAAAAAGGGTATAGTTTGTACATGTACATGTAAATACACTAAGCGCCTGAACTCCAACACCATGCAAACCCTTGCAGTAAAACAAGCCTAGTCTTGGGGGACACTACTTACTTACTTGCAGTCTGATGCCATTATCACCCAAGTGCAAGTGCGGGGGTTCTTTTTTATCAAAACACAACCTATCGGGGAAATTCAGAAAAAAAAATGGGCCAATAGGCCAAGCAAAAGACGTGCCCGCTCTCTCACCCCAACCCAAGCACAAGCAAGCGGATATGGCCATGCAGATATTAGCAGTACTTGACTCTTTTACGCATCTTTACCCTCATTTGCTTGCTTGCTTGCTTGCTTGCTTGCTTGCTTACTTGCATACACCCCATGTACTTCCCTAACATGACGCATCTCCTTTCCTCGCCCATCCTTAGGTACTTACATGCGAGGCAGAAGAGGGGAAGGGGAAAGGAAGGAAGGAAGGCGCGCCATAACATTCCTTCCATACTACACCCAGCGCCCGGCGCCCCGCCCTTCCCAATCGCCCAACCGGCAGTATTCCAGCCACACTACATTGCATTGGCGGCTGATCGCAACTCGCGGTCGCTGATTCGCTGTGCTCAAGGCGCAATCTGCAATGCAATGCAAAAAAAAAAGCCACGATTGCGCGCGCTCGCCTTGCCTGCCCGTTTTTTTGCTTGCACAATCGCGCGCCGTGTGTGGAAAGTCATTTCGAAAGGGAAAAGAGACATGTTTTTTTTCAATAAAGGGTTATAGAAAGCGGCGCGTATGTGTTGTGCAATCGTGTGTATACACGCCAATCTGTAATCTTTTGGTGGGAAGGGGGGGAGGGGGGGGGAAACGGAGATGCGTGCCGATCGGGCCCCCGAAGCCTGGCTTGATTACTTGCCTTAACAACACACGCATGCGCAGAGAGAGAGAGGAAACAGGTACCAGGCATCGGGAAGCGAGCCCTTTGTCGCATTTTGTGGGGAATTTTCTTGTTTGGCTGGCAATAGCAAAGGGAAAATAGGCAGATCGCCCGCTCATCGGGGGATGCATGCTTGCGCTTGTCCTCCCCCAGTCGGGCCTCTTCCTCTTCCTCCTCCTCCCAATCTGAACCACTGTTTTTTTTTCTTACGAGGTGTGTGATCTGGGGGGGGGGGTTTCTTTGCTTGACCGCAACGTAGTATGAAGTCATCATCTTGCTAGGATTTTTTTGTTTACTATCCCCGCCTTCTTCACCCAAGAAGCTGAAAGAAAAAGATTCTGCCCGTCGACGTGATCATATGCACATATTCTGGATTTGCCGTAATTGGATACATATCCACCGCGTCCACGTGCGGCGCCCCCCTCCCCCCCTTGTCTCCGAGGGCGTGGCCTTCGCGGAAAAAAAAACAAACAAGGGAGGGGGAGGGGGGAAAGCAAGAAGCGCGCGAAAGCGAGTGGGGATTTGGGGCCGCTCTCAGCTCGTCGCCTTTTTTTTCCCTTAGGCTCGATTTCCCTCCCTCTCTCGCTCTCTACACGCGAAACGGTTAGGGAAAGTTGGACTTTTTACTTGTTTGGGTTAAAATAAACAAAAAAAGTAAAGGGAAAACCCCGGTTCTCCGAGGCTATGGTACGCCGGTGGTTAAAAAAACCCCCCAATATTTCCTCTCTCCCAAACCTCACACCAACTGGCGTTTTGTCTAAAAAACCCTTTTGATGAGCTCGCGAAGCGCGGGTTATTGGCTTCTGGGATCGGTAATCGTGCCGGCCCTGTCTTGCATCATCATCTATTTCATACTAGTCAACAAATAGCTTCCCCCCCTTCAAGCGGTCTCCGTTTTACCCAGCTCATAGTAACCTTCTGCTAAAGGTCCTAACTAATAACCTGACTCATTCGCGCCGGAGCCCCAAGATCCACCAAAAACAAGCACGAGATAGAGCCTAATCTCCACGTCAAAGACAAACATTTTCCCATGACTTGTTTTAGCTTAGGGTGTGGAATAAGCCGTCAATCTCAGCCCGCCGCCGCCCGCTACGTACCATGTGTCACCCTCACAAAAAAATGCACTAAACTAATGGCTGATAAAGGCCGCGTTTCAAGCTTGAGAGAGAGAGAGATAAAAATGCAGTCCAATCGACGTCTGGGCACGAACAAAGTCTACAAATGTTACTAGTATGTAGTTTAGTGTTTTTTTTGGACCGAGCCATTTGCATGGCAAATCGTTCCGTTTGATCAACGGCCGTAGTCTGTTCAATTAAGCCCAATCTACACCCAGTGCACACTACGATCTGCAGACTACGGCTGACACGCTTCATTACTACGGTACCGTAGCAGCGGGGGGATGCAACCAGTCTAGAACTCGACAATAAGTTGATCCCTCGGTCATTCTACTGGGGTTCTTTTGCTCCCAGAGTGAGGCACCCACTCTGACATGCGAGGTGATGAAGATCGTCTGCGAGGGGTACGTCTTAGTGTGGCGGTGCGGCATCATCTTATCGTACCCTCGCCTCGGTACACCTACGTTATCCAAATGCCATATTTTGAGTGGCGAAAAGTCGTGCTAACGTCATGCGTCATTCGAGTGCGAGAGGCAATTCTGATCTCTGACTCAGAGCGTGTGACCGACCTGCATATGACAAGCGTACCGCATAGAGATAGAGTAGTGTGGCACAGTCCAGCGTTCGCGAGCCGTTGTGGCGAAGGCGAGGGTCCAGCCACATTACCTCGCCACTTGCCAGACTCGCTAGATTACACAACGTGTCGATCTCCGACTAGACCATTGCCCGCTCATTGGCTCATGCATAACCTTATACACTTACATATGTAATGTAGACTTTACTACAACGTTACCAGGCTGCTTTTTGAACGGGAGCGTCGTCAACCAACACACCGCGCCATTCTATTGGATCTTCGTGTACTCACTATCGGTTCGACTAGCACCAGCAGGCTTTGCACACATGACATGTACGCCGCCTCGGATTTGGCGTCCTGTTCTGTTTTCAGAGCCCTGTGGCAAAACGATAGGAAAAAAAAAAGAACAATGCTCAAGGGAATGCGCTCGAGGCCCTCGTGCACGTTTGCTCCCTACTAATGTTAAAGCATGGGTTCACAGGAATGCCGAGCAACGGTTATTCGGATAGTCTGGTTCTAGGTGTGTACCTAGACCTTCATAGCCTGTGCATCCCCATAAAATCGTTAAGCATGGGTGCCGTGTGCCGCGATCCGTGTGTATACCATCAGACCACCCGTGCATGAGCGCTCGCATAAACAACCATAAACTGCGATGGTAAGGCTGTGGATTTGACGCAAGCGACAATCGGTAGGATGCGCACATGTTTCAAGTGTACGATAAGTGAGGAGACGACTCGGCAACAAGACCGCCTACCAGGTTCAATCGGCCCGTTCTTACTCGACACCTGTTCTGTAATTGCCAGCGCATCCTCCACTCCCTGCTCCTTCGGTTCGTCTCTTCGGGCTCACGTGTGTCGTCGTCGTGATTCGTGAGCGGCTTGCTGCAGTATGACATCAAGTTTCGGGCGCGCCATCCTTAGGGCCGGAACGTGTTTTTGGCGGCATCGGCTACTCTACCCACACTACCCGCCAGCCCCCCCTCAATTTCTTACTTTCAGGGGCCCCCACTTGAGCGTAGAAGGATGCGATATGCCTGTTTCCGATGGCCATTTCCTCATGCATTTGCGAATATGATGCCCATTATGAACGCCCTTGCTCCCCTTGAAGCTGATAATGCCAGAGCTGGCGATGCAAAGGTGCTTTCTTCTACCTCTCAGCTCAGCAAGCGCCCGTACATGGCTTAATTTCCGGGGTTGGTGGTAGCGCGTCAAGGTTTAGAGGGCGCCAAGGCGTCGAGAGCATGCGAAGTGACATTTATGGATAAATCGTGATACGGACACTTGCTCGGGTAGAAAATGCTTCGTGGAGTAAAAAGAATGTCACTATGTCATAATGTTAGTGGAGTACGTACGTGCGTAGCATCCGGTCCAGCTTCGGTCGCACATCGTGCATTTTAAGACATGGATGATTTGAAAATTTGACTGAAAAGGAAAGAAAATCGGACATGTTGCGACAGTTCAAGGAGCGAAAAGACTTTGATTAGGCTTCCAGGGTAATCTGGGTATGTGCACTGTGGAAAACGAAGTTGCCCATGCTTGTTGTCTGTGTGTGAGAGAGAGAGAGAGAGAGAAAGAGAAAAAAAATTACAACCCCCAACGCGCCCTCCTCGTACTGCGTATGTGTATCTCGCCATATGTTCGTAACAGATCGTCGATTTGCAATCTTAACCTCTGGGAAAGTTGGAATGGTAATGGTATAATGGGTATCGTCGTCGCACCGAAAAGAAGAATAGAAAGGTATAGGACACATGAAATAGAGGCAATCGCTCAACTCAAGCGCGTCGCTTGACCAAGAGCGCGACATGCCAAACGGTCGAGTTGTGTGAAGCAATAGAGAAAAAAGAAGCAAAAAAGCCATGGCGACTCGTGTCATGCGATGCGAGACTCCAAGAGACGAATGGTACGGGTCATTACGGTCGGTCGGTTGCCGGAAAAAAACAGGGTATCAAGGTGAAAAAGAACGGCGCCTTACTCAGTGACAGGCAGAGAAAGCCTAAAAGAGAAGGCGTAGTTCGTAGCCAGTCGAATGGACGTTTTCGGTGACGCTGATATCTCCATCGACCTGAATGTCTGTAGGGCCGGCGTCCCACTCGCGCTTCATCGAATGCGCCGGAGGCGTGCCGATTTCGTGGAATTCAGCCGTCATGTCCTGTTGCTCCGGTATCTTGCTGACTGCATCATCGTCCATTAAGATTTGTAGTCCTTTCTGGTTAACGCGGATGGTCCGTGTCACCTTGCTAGGCTCAATCTTGAGCTTCATTGCAATGCCAGTGACGAGCTCCTTGACAGTGCGATCCATAAGGTATACGGCGCGGAAATAGTTGTCCTCTGGTTGGCGTCCGGCAAGCCTGGGCTGCACGAAAAAGCACGCAACTGGCTTGAGCAAGGGCTCTGGTGGTGGCTGGTACGTCTGGTCAACGCCAAGAGCTTCGATCCATCCAGAAAGCGCGTGATCGTCGGAATACGGTCGTTGGACTTTGGTTGGGACGTCTGCGCCTCCGTGCATATTGACCATGCCCTTGAGATCGCCTGTAGCGGTTTGCGGAAGATTTCGCCACTCGTTTGAAGACATGCGCGAGGGCGGTTGGAAGGGCTGCGGGCGTTGGAAGGAAGAGGCGCGACGTTTCTCTGATTGCAGAGATTGTGAGCTGGGGGTTGGGGATACCACCGACGAAGTCGATGTCTGCGGATCGTGTCCATCCCACATTTGTGCATCCACGTTGGTGTCCAGCTTGGAGAGATCGTGGGATGATGCGCCCAAGACAACTGGATGCAGATCTGGGTCATCCTGTGCGTCTCCCTTGAGGTAGAGAACGCTGACAGGTCGGGTCGAGCTGAACATGTCCTGCAAAGACGCCAGTTTGATATGAAGATCTTCTTCAGCTGGCGCGCGAGCTCCTTGGTTGTCGCTTGTCGAAGACATGGACCAAGTCCGCTTATGCTTGGGCACCTTGCCTGGTCTTTGGCTCATGGTGCCTTTGGAAATTGAACCACTGCGCTTCCGCTTGCCAAAGTCCTTCATGCCAGATTCGACTTGCGCAATCTGCTGCTTGAGCTTGTCGATCGTCTTCTTGACGTGCGCAACATCGTTGGACAGTTTCCGCTCGGCGCCGTGGTCTCGGAAGAGCTTAACCTTGCAGTAGCAGAGCTCAGCTTCTGATCGCTGAGGCGATGCTCCAGCGGTCTCGGTGATCAGCTCTGTCTTTGCGCAAAGTCGAACTGGGATGCCCTTGACACCTTTGGAATGGCTAAAGTCGGTAGAAAGGAAGTTGAAGCGCACAGCCAAGGAACACTCGGGCGAAGCGTTGGGAACGGGCGTCCATGTTACCACGAAGCCGTCAAACGAGGATGATTCCAGCTCTACCCTGGGTCGGCCTTGGACCTCGCCGCCGCCAACTTGGCTCGGGTCAACAAATTCAACGGCTTGCAGCCGTCCGCCGCGCTGGTGGGCTTCGTTTGTGCCTCGGCCTTCTTTCCATAGTTGCCAGCAAGACGCAGGTCGCTGGCGCTGTTGCTCGTCCTCGAATGAAATGCGAATAAAGGTCCTGTACTTGAGAGATGGCGAAGGGACCTGGAGTGGAGCCGTATCGACCAAGGAGATGGAGTAAGCTTGTCCCTTGTTCAAATACGTCACCGGAACCTCGTCTGGCTGCTTGACCATAGCTGTTGGCGCATTCAGAGTGACGTGGTATCGGAAGCTATCCAGATTAGTTGGTATTGCGCAAAAAAAAATGACACGTGTTTTGCAAACTCACTTTTGATTGGGTGGTGGGGGTGCAGATTGGACTGCAGATGCTATGCTGTCGTATGAATGGGGTGCGAAGCCTATGAGAGGCGATTGCTCTTGCATCTCGACTTCTGGCACCATGTTGTCCATGGGAGAATTCTCATGGTTTTGCACCATGGGGCGCTGGTCAAAAGCCGAAGGCTGGTGGGTGAATTGGTGGGGCGCAAACGACTGCGAATGCTGCGGCTGCATGCCAAAGGGATTGGCATTTTGGAAATGGTGAGAGCCGAGCGCATGGTGGTTGAAGCCGTGCAGGTGCGCAGTAGGTGCGATCTGGCCGGCGTGAACTCCGCCTTCCGAAGTGGGCAGCGATAGTGGGGTGCCTAAGCCGAAGCTGAAGCCAGGCGTGTGCAGGTCGCCAGCCTGGCTGTGGTAGAGCGTGTTGGTTCCACCCGGCGTCGGGGTGTAGTAGCCAGGCGGCTGATTTGCAAAGGAGGTAAAGGCAAAGCTGTTTGGGTCGAGCAGCGAGGGCGTAAACCTCCAGGGCTCATTGTTGCCTCGCGGCGTGGGGTCCTGGTCCTTGATGTCCTCATGGCTGTCGGGCTGGCTGTCGCGGGCATCAAAGTTAGCAGGTTGGTGCATGACTTGGTTGACATTGACATGTCGGTGGTTGCGCGCAAATGCGTCCCGACGGATCGGAAATGCCATGTCGGGGAAGACGTACCGGGAGGGGTTTGCAATGTCCAAGACATCGGCGAGCGAGTGGCCTGGCGGCGCAGCGAGAGAATGGGAGCGCTGCTGGATGTGGGGGAAGTTTGCCTTGAAGTCCTCTAGCAGTTTCCCATCGGGCTTCTGGCTGTTCAGTCTGGAGCGGGGGGTGGGCAGTCAGCAGGTGGTTGCAAAGACAGTGTTCGAACGCGACGCGCGCAAATCACATGCGAGCTTGGGCATGGCGGCGGGCGTGACGTACCGATTTCGAAACATGGCATCGGGCTTTCACTCGGGCGATTAGCAGGATGGAGATTCGGGGAGCATCTGGTTGACGGGCAGTGTTTGGGTTGTTGGTGGAAGTGGGGAGGCGGGGGGATGTTGAGGCTGGGAGGAAGGGAGGAGGTGAGGGAGGTGAGGGAGCGAGGGAAGCAGCAGCAACGTAGGAAGCGGATCTTGGGTTGATGAAACAGAGAGCAGCTGCCACGAGAAAGGCGAGCCTGGGAGAGTCAAGCCACAGGCCGACGTCCAGGGCCGGTGGTCAGACGTCTTTTTAGCTAGCGACCTGCGCATCCACCATGGCCTTGACGGAATTGCTTCGAGGGCCGCGCGTGGGCAAGGGTGGAGCATCGGGTCTAGGCACACACACACACACACACACACACACACACATGCACATCCACACATTCACATGGTCCCTGCGGGCCTGTTCTAACGCTGCCCCAGCTAGCTGCTGCTAGGCCGGAAGCTGATGCTGCTACTGCTGCTGCTCCACCTGTGCGGCGCGACATGGGCCCAGCCGACAGATGCGCTCCCCAGCACTACGCACAAGCACACAAGCGCAGAGCCGGCCGCCTGCACAGCCACGGCCCTACGGCAGACGCGAGCCGCCCTCCAGTCGTGCTGTACCGCATCCGGCCCCGATTTGCGCTGCAGCTGTCGCCATCCCGCACAAGGGCCGCCGGAGCATGTTGCTTGCCTCTGACCGACGGCATGGTACTCGATGTACTGTAGTAGTAGTCGGATGCCCATACTACACTACACACTACACTACTACACCCCCCCCTCGTCCAGCCAACATCCAGCCCGCGGCGCACGGGGCCCCCATGGTGGCTTCACCAAGCCCTTCCGTGTGCATTGCCGTAATTTACTCGTTGACAAAGCCCTCCGCTCGCGCGCTATGCCCCCTTGGTCGCCAGGCAATCGCATGGCGCCTACCGTGTGCGTTGGCTCCTCAATGCGAAATGACATATGCCGGCCAGGGCCCCGTTTCCACTCGTCGACCGATGCGATGCTGGCTCTGGCTGCTTGTGCTACTGCTGGCTGCGCTGACGGCCCTGGTCCGCTGCACTGCACTCGCTCCCACTCCACGCGACAGACGCAGACCGACGACACACTACTTACTCTGTCTGTCCGCTTGTCTTGCCTGTCCATGTACACATCCCCCCCCTCTCTCTCCCATGCTGCTATTGCTGCTGCCGCCAGCACTCCCCTGCGTTTGTGCGCCGGATCGGAGACGAGGTTCCACCCCGCCAATTCGCCTCGTCGCTATGCCTGCCTGCCCACCCCATCGGCCTGTCCTGTGCCCACCCACCAATCCCACAGCCGGCCGTTGGCGCCCTCTCGCTTGCCCTTAGCCAGCCTCGCTGCCTGCCCGCTACCCGCCTACTCGGATTCACCTTAATCCTGAACGTTGTCCCATCACCTGTCAACCCGAGATTAACGACTGTGCTTTAGTGAGCGTTTGCCCGAGACGACAACTCCTGTGCCCTCCGTCCATCATAAAAAAAAGCCCATCCGCCATCCCCCCCCCATGTCGTCATCGCGCCGCCGCTCGGCCCTTTGGCTTCCCTGGGCCCTTGCCAGGCCCCAGAAGGCTCAAAATTTCTGACCATCCCAGCAATCAAACGTCACTCTGTCCTGCGGTTACACCCACCGCCCGTCCCGGTTGGTCATTGCATCTTATGCTGACACTACCAGGCCAATCGCTCGCCTTTCCATCTAGTCATTCGGCACCTGCAGTAGGTCGTGGTAATCCTATGTCCCCATTTCTAGACCTTAATGCACAAACAAAAATAATTGTGGCAAACTGTCTTGTTGCAGCATACTGATCGACAACGGGACATGTCCCACCACTTACGCTGCTTTCTGCTTTCTGCTTTGCAGCTCTGCGCCTCAATCCCTTTCGCAATGTTCCCGCCCTGCCGTGGCATGTGCATGCTTCTGATTGGCCCCAACCCCACCGAACTCTCGCTGTGGCACAGACCCACTTACCTACTCGCCACACTCGCCACACTCGACGCCACACTTGCCGATCCATTTCCGCCCAGACGAGTAGATGCCGTCGCAACGCGTATGCTTGCAGCACCGTAGTAACTGCCCCGAAACACGACGGGGTCTTTTCGTAGGGCTGGACGTTCACCACATGAGCTCATCCACCGTCACTATTAGTCCGAGTCAAGCAACGCCTCCAAACTATCCTTACTCTTCCGCGCGGCGGTCTCTTTTTTTGGTCCAATATTTCAATGACCCTGTTTGTCTTCTCCCCTGAAGCTTGCATTAGCCACTTCTCACTCACACAATAACAAGGGGAGATCAAAAGTCCAGAATCTTCTCCCTTTTTTTTCGTTACCAACTTCGTGATGCCATAGACTTTCCATCAATGTCTAAAATAGAAAAAAAAAGCCTCGACGTCATGGTACAGAAGGGAGGGCGGCAAACATGGTTACACAGGATCCCCATTTACCGTGAGTACGTAGTCAAACGTAAATCCCGCGCCTGCGCGCGCGCGAGCCCCTTCTGATCTCAACTTCCTTCCCGCTTTGGCTACGGTTTACTCATCTCGCTAGCTTTTGTCCGCCCACTAAGATTGGTTATTTCAACCTAGCAACCTTTTGTAATTTCACTACCTACCCCCCCGATCGCATTTCGTCTTGTCCAGACCCTCTTGGTCTGTAACAAGCAGCCGCCCGGCAGTCAAACCCGCCTAGAACATTTGCCTGCCCGCCCGCCCCCCTTCGTTTCATACCGTCTTAGCTATTGCTTGTTGATACGTATACCGTAGATCATGGAGGCAAGTTGCAAAGAAGATGGCCATGTTGAACCATTCTCCCCTCCTGTGTGACATACTTTCATCATCCTCTTCAGACCGAAGCGCCTCCCACCTTATGCTACCGTCCAATCAATACCAAACTGAGCTGCCTGGATAAAACCACTCGTCATCCGCTGTTCCATTACGCAAAACCCCTCATCCACTTGCTGCCATGTCTACCGACCCTTTATCCTCTCCTTCCCCCGGGCCTTGCCTCTTGTGCGCTGGCGGTGGCGACATCATCGTCGATTTCGGTCCACTGCTTTCACCACGTGATGTATCATCTCCGGCCTTGCCTATGCTCGCTGTTGCTCCGGCCTGGGAACCGTTGTCGAGTCCTGTGCCACTCGAGTCATCCCTCGAGACGGACAAACATGACCCTGTGCGCAAACTCTCAAGGGAGCTATGCCTACTCGAGTCCCCTGGCTGAACCCTTCCACTCCCCACGTCCTCACGGAACGCCGTCTGCACACTGGATTGTGACCCACGACGGCTCTCTTGATACTTGCTCTCCATTAATTCTCCACTTGATATCGAGCTTCCTTGACTACTACCACTCGGGCTCGGCGCCGGGCTCGGGTAATCTGACATGTTGCCAAAGTCTGCGCTTAAGCTCTGTGTCGACCGTCTGGACCTTGCTGACCGTGTTACCGGTGTGTAGCGTACGGCATGTGACGAGACCTGCGCGACAGAGTCCTCAGGTCCTTCGTAGTGGGTATAGATATCATCTAGCGTAGCTTCCTCAAAGAGGGCTTGTAGCTCGTCTGCTCCCGGCTCGAAAGAGAACTGTCGATGATGACCTTGATGCGCACTGAGATGTGCTTGTGAATGGAGCCTCCCTGCAATGCGCATCTGTGTCACACCTTGTTCCAAAGACTGCTTATTTACCCTCATATCTTGCATAGTTACTGGGTCTGCCTCTGCCTCATCATCGAACACGACCGAGGGTTCTTCCGGCATTGACTGTGAGAGCAGCGTCATCAGTTTGTGATTGAAGCTGTCCGCTTGCAAGCCTCGTCGTCTTGCCACAAGCGTGCCAAGTTCACGGAGAGCGACGAAGGCATTACACTCGGTGGCAGGCTGCATTTCCGTCTGATGATGAATTGACGTCTCGTCTGACAGTGCATCACCGGATCCTCCCGAGAAGACAGAGCCATCAGAATCCGTGACAGACGACGGCGGCCGAGTCTTGTGCACTGTAGTCAAGTCTAGCTCACTCTGAACCTGGCGTGAAAGTGTAGTCTTCTCTGAGTCAGGAGGAGTACCAACCAGTAATTCCGAACTGTCAGAGAACCGCTTAGATAGTACCGCCATCTTGCCAGAAGGGGATATCGGTCGGCCACGAAGTACTAGATGAGTTAGACTGACTCTGAACGCTGGGTGAGCCATCATCTACAACTTGCCTTTCTCACTCAAATGGTTGATTTCTGCGTCAAGCTTCTCTTCAGGAAGTAGCTTGTGGTCTCGTGCGAAGTTGTCATGCGAGCTAGTCTTTCTGTGCCTCCGCTGACGATCCACAACACTTCCCTGGCGCGCTTGCATAAGTCTACAGTAATTAGACCAAGCTAGTCAGAGCGCAGTGCATATACTGACCCCGTCATGCCACTTGTACCGCGGGCTATAAGTAGCTCGAGCCGGCGTATCTCCGCGTGATATTGATCTTCCGAATACGACCAACCTGCCTGTGCTTGTGACCAATCCCGAAGCGTTTCTTCTAGCAGGATCTCTAGGCGCTCCTTCTGATCCCGAATCTTTCGATAATCCTCGAATACGCGAAGCAGGCCACCGTGGTGCTCCATAGGCATTGGAGACGATGAGCTGGTGATATGCAGTCGAACGGACTGGGTCACAACTAGTGGATCAACGTAGGCCTCGAACGGCCGTGGTGCCTCTTCACCCCATGGTTCCGAAAACTCGGGAGTTTTTGTAGTGTCCTTGAACGAGGAGAAAAGCGAGGTATATCGCGAGAGCTTTGGCTTAGAGTCTCGATACAACGCTAGCATCTCCAAACGTTCACCCCGCCCATCTCCAATGTCTTCGACTACAGTTCCTGCAGTCAGGGTACTCACCGGGGTTTGTGGTCTACTGCTGTGCAGTGTCTTTAGCCAGCTAGGTTGACGAGGTCTGTCACCTTGGTCTTCAGTAGCTGTGGAACGTTCGCCGTCAGATCTGAGCGAAGAGACCTTGGGTTGCTTCTTGGGGTGTTTACTGTGACCTAGGCGCCAACCCCTACCATCTGGCATGTTGTTTTCATGTGCAAGCTCTCTTGATAGGTGAGTGGCTACAGAGAGCCCAGGGAGCTGCGCGACGTATAAGTCCATACCCTCGACAGGTCACAATTGCCAGTTGAGTGAGACTGTGGAAAGCGGTCGTGGTAAAGGTGATTGTGGTGATGTACGGGCAGGTGCTGCCGCGGGGCCAGCTCTCACCCTCACTACCCTGACTGACATCATTTGGGGCAGCTCACCTTCACCAAAGATGGTGCCAACGCATGTGACATCTGTACAGCTGCCTAAATGTCGATTCTGGATTGAAACCAACTCTTCAACATCTTTACTGCCCTCTGCAAGCATGGCGGTGTCATCGTTGCTCCTGCCGTCTTTTGGACTCAACCTAACACCTCACGTTTGTATTAGGCCATTTGGGTCATGTATCCATGTCCCCTCGACGAAAAGTGTGGACATCCAGAAGGCAGACAGCCACGAATGCCGCACTAGAGCTTGCGTCATGTCAGGATTTGGAAAGAAGGTGAAAAAAAATATCGCTAATGTCGAAAGGCGTACGAAGTGGCCAGGTGAGCGGTGCGATGGTCCTGCAAGTCCATTCAATGTTACTTGGGAGCGTACATAATGATGGCTACTCTACAGATTTGTGTGTTTGTGGCAACCACGAGCGACTATATTCATCAGTCGGGGTGTCTTGACGTTAAAATGGTTCGGTCCCAAAACGGCTAGACAGGTACATAGGTACTTAGTAGCGAAAGCTGGTTCACCAGGGCACTACACTCGAACCACTTGCATCTATACTTCATACTTGCATCGCAACAAGACGTCGCTAGCTTACGCGTATTCCTGATCCGGAGAATTATTAGACCCATAATATATGCTGCCTAAGGATTCGTTTGTATCGCATAGCCGCCTCCAGGATCGTTGCCAAGGGACATAATGTTCCGTGTTTCGGTTGAGTTTGAGTACTGTTTCAGCACACTCAAACCGCCTAGCAATTGCGATGACTTGGCTGAACAAGACTCAGTCTAGAACTTTGTTAAGAGATGTTCAGTATAAGGATATGTACAGTCGAGGTGATAGTGCGTAATACGGAAATTCGAGGTGATGAGTGTAAGACGGAGAGTCGGGATGATGAGCGTACTTACTTCGAGAGCTCACTGCAAGGCTACCATTGCGTGACATGACTTGAAATGCCTCAGTGGCACCATTTCGACAATGTCCAATGCAGCCAGACGCGCGTCGGTTATAATTCAGGAAGCCATCGACACGTCTCTGACAGCCTTGACACACATGGCCAGCTCGCATCCCCGACCGTGCCCACCCCGCAGAACACAAGAGCTCCACTACCCGCCAGGCGTGCAGGACAGAAGGCAGTGCATTCGCCCATACACTGCCAAGATGGCGCCAGGGAAATCTAGAATCCGGTTTCAGTCTGTCTGGTTTGAGGCACCAAGTGAAATATACGAGGATAATGTGTGATTAATAGCGATCCTGGACAAGCAAGGCGTTGTATTGCGTACATAGCTCTGTCTTGTCGACAGTTATAAGGCAACGTCCCGGCGAGGCCCCAAGGTATTCCATTCTTCAGCCTCAAAAACATCAAACTACCTTTCTCTTCTTCATATTCACTCTTTGTCGCAGTGCGACTTTTTACCATCTCCCACACCCGTTTCGACTTTTCCTTGAACTACCGCGACTGCAACTCTACTCGAATACTCTCGAACCCAACCATAATCACCTAAACACTATTTTCAAAATGAAGTTCACCATTGTCGCCACCATCATCTCCATGGCTGCTGTTGCCATTGCTGCTCCCATTGCTAGCGAGCGTACGTCTGCCTCTGCAATTCCTTCGAGATGAGAAAGGAAGAAGCTAACAAGATGTATAGAAGTCGCTGCCCGTCAGAACCACGGCATGTGTGTCAAGTCCGACGCAAATGGCGAGATTACCCAGATCCCCAACTGCTAGATATGATACCCAAGAGTGGAAGGATAAGATGGAGTGTGGCGATAAGGGGGATTGTGGTGGAGGTAGACAAATAAAGAGTAGAGACAGCCTGCAACAAACTCAAATATAATATTCAAAGCACCTAGGCTGCACCCATAACAGACGACAAATCATATATTGGCAACCAAGTCAGTATCTTGTACAAACCATGCATCTAGTGTTGTCCGCCGTGATTAGTTGGTACCCAAGAGCTTCGACGTATTCCCTTAACAAGACAACGAGACATGTCAGAAGCGTCAAGCAGAGGCAGCAATGACAGTCTTCACCCTTGCAGTTACAGCGCTACTACTCGTCAAGCGCTAGTCGCTGTTTTTGTTGGGGTACATGCTCGCCCACCTGGGTTGATCCTTCCACGTTTCGCGATTCCCATACTCGGCATGGCGCTGAAACGTAGGCGCTGGGAATACGATGGTTTCATTGTGGGGGTTCTGCTTCCTTGGGTGGTTCGCCTAAGGGCTGAGCATGAGATGAGCTATAGTTGAAGTGTGTGCGTGTGTGTCGGAGAGAATAGGCAAAGTCTACAACTTTGAATCCCCCGCAGATACTAGCTGTGTTCAGCAAAAGCAGCAGTAGTGATTCTTGGCCACCATAGTCATCCGACTGCAACTGCTCGTGCTAGACTCGGCTAACAACGTCTCGGTTTAGTTGGCGTTGGAAATGTGTGCACTATGGCGTTGGAGAAAGCGGACTAACAGGTTCTGCCCACCCGTTATGGACAGGTGATGCGCTAGACAGGCCGACCGTTGCTCACATTCAATAAGACTAAGCAGACCCTGCGTCTCCTGCTTCGTTGCAGATTGGGACTGCAACCCCACCGTCGACGTCCAAGACTGCAACATGTGCCATTGACAGTAGTATATTTGCTTTTCCCCGTATTGCACCCAGTGGGACGTAGATGCGGAGCTCGAGGCCCCGTGACACACCAAGCGATGGCGTCAGTACACAGGACCGACCTATGGGCATCCTGTTTCCAACAAGCGAGATGATCGTCCCAAGGATTGACGAGTCGAGCGAACTGGTTGCATCTCCGTGGATTGCAAAGGACTGACAGCACCTGTCTGCCTCGACGCGTTGCATCTTGGTCCCTACGAAGACTGCTCCATCTCCTAGTCCCCAGGTTCCCATGCGCAACGCCAGCAGATTCACATCGCGCCCGCTCCCCGTTGGCCATTCCCCGTGCGCGCAATGCGTGTCTAGACTCAGCAAAAGGAGCGGTTGCTGTGTTCCGGCGCAGTATGACGTTGCCCAAGACAAAAATGCCAGGCTTTGAGGCCAATCTTCAGCCACCGGCCCTCTTCAGGAACGGCGCCCCTACCACGCCTTAAAGACATGTTTATCGTGAACTGCACTCAGGGCACACTCCTACGGCTTCAATTCGGCGCCTTCCATGGACAAGCTAAAGCTCAAGGCGCGTACGGCGCGCAGCAGGCTCACTGGGGCTTCTTCGTCTGCGCCCGACACGCCTGAACAGACGGCTCCACAACAATCGCCCGTACCACAACAAAACTCCAGCACACATGCCCTCCACGAGGGCACTTACGCCCGGGACTTTGGTGTCCCCGCCGACCAACAACCACAACAGCCCGCCGTCGAGCCCCCTACTTCATTGCAGTCGTCCATTGACGCGGGCAGCCATGTACCCAAGCCCTCTAGGGTCAGCGACCCGTCGTCGCACGTTACATACCAGTGAGTTTTGGCCTTGGCGAAGTAGCAAGGCGCAATGGCTGACATTCATCGAGGACGCTTGCAGCACAGCGAGCAAGGAGCAACTCTGCGCCAAACAGAGGAACACCGCCGTTCCAGCAATACCCACGCCGACCCCAAGCTGCCCGCCAAACGAGCATTGGTATCCGTCGCATGCCCCCATTGAGTCCCTTGAGGCAGACCGTTCAACCACCAGCTTCATCCACCCCGAGAGCAGGCACGCCCTTGCCTGCGCTCGACGAAGAGCAAGAACTAGGCCAGCTCCCGTCCAACAGCAGCCAATCCACCCTCACTCATACCAACTCGGCACCCGATCAGACTCGCCTGCGGAAAATAAAGAGCGCCGTCCAGCTTAGGATACCATTCTGGGGCAAGAAGGATGAAGGCAAATCACCTGCAACAGGCCCCAGTGTCACCACCACCCAAGACGACGGAGCGACCAACTACAGTTCAGGCATGGTCGATGTCTTGGATACGCTTGACCCTGAGGTTGCGACCCTCACGTCTTTGACAAATATGCAGAATTCGCTCTTCATTCCCAATCTGCCCTTTCTCAACCGCCGGCCTACTTACAACCTGCGTCGACGAAAGAGCGAGACGGAGAGCCTCGAGGAGATCAACCGCATATTGCAACCTGCCTTGGCTGCTCAGGCACAGGAGCAACAACCCCCGGCTTTGCAACGCTCTCCAACCCAAACCACAGCGACCACCATGATGACAATAGACTCGCAGCTGACAAATTCACGATATGCCGTGCTCCCTGAAAATACCGACTTGTCTGGATGGAGCGTGGCTGATAAGAAGGAAGTTAATGATCACGTGCGACACATGCTTCATTCACGGCGATCCAAGCTGAAGCGCTCACTCAAGGGCTTTGGACATTACGTTCGCAGACGTAAGTACATCCGCTATTAATCATTGGTATTCTTTCTAACACACCACAGCACTGGGTTTCCTCGTCACTCTCTATGCAACGCTTATTACTTTATTCGGTCTGGCCTGGGTGCTATTCTTGATTGGCTGGATCAATGTCGGTGGACAGCAGATTTATGTCGTCCACATCATTGACAGCGTTCTGGTCGCCCTCTTCGCAATTGTCGGAGACGGTCTCGCTCCCTTCCGCGCCGTAGACACCTACCACATGATCTACATAGCACACTACCATCACTACACCTGGTCACGCCGAAAGAAGGACATGCTGCCTGCTCTAGCCGACCACAACGACCTGCCTGCTGAGCACGCCCCTGTATCTGGACCCAGAACTACCGATCCTAACGACCCAGAGAAACAATGGGAGTTTACCGTCTTGACACCTAAACAGCAAGAGAAGCTTGAACATCATCAGAGCAAATTCTGCAAATCGCACTCCTTCTACAAGCCCCACGAGACAGAGACCCACTACGCATTTCCTCTTCGCTTCCTGGTCGCCATCGTTGTACTGCTGGATTGCCACTCACTCCTCCAAATCTCCCTTGGTGCATGCACTTGGGGTATCTACTACAAGAACCGGCACTTTGCCATTACTACTGTCATTCTCATTTGCTCCATCACCTGCAACGCGACAGCCGGTCTTTTGATCTGGCTTGGTGACAAGAGGACGAGGAAGAAGGATGTCCTGGAACGCATGAATAGGCAGGAGCTGACGGAGGAGGCGATTAAGGAAGTGCAGAAGAAGAAGGAAAAGGAAGGCGAGAGTAGCAGTGATGAAGCCGGTAAGGAGTCGGAGAAGAGGAGGATCAGTATGGATGCCTTTAGGCCCAGGAAAAGTATGGATAAGGGAAGGAAAAGTATGGACAAGGGAAGGAAGAGTATGGAAAAAGGGAGGGCGAAGGAGCCGGCCCAGACTGAACAGAGCGCGTATCCCTGAATAATCTTCGTTGCATATCGTAATTATTTGATAGTCCTCTCCTTCAAGCGTACCAGCGTTGAGATACCAATCTTGCCTATTAATGTCACAATTTACAATCTAATCAGTCCTTATTTTTTGACTTGCACCCACGTTACTAACTGCTCCATAGCAGGAATGTATCTGAGCTCTCTCCTTCTGGATGGAAGTGTCAAACGTGACTGACGCCTGGCTTGATCTGCAACAGCATACAAAGGCATTGCATACCACTATATATCCGCAGCATCAGTATAACAAAATGAATACATGAATATATGTTTGCGTGCAGTATTACAATATCAGTGTTAGATGAAAGGGTAGACTCGAGAAAGACCCAGGCAATCAAGACTCAGATAGTGCAGGAACGTTACGATTAATGAAAAATATGTTGCATAACTGTATCTTTGACTTATGAAACGATGAGAAGCTATTCGTAATAAAGCTGCACACATCAGAAGGGTGCTCTTGTCCTTGGTACGGGTGTCTTGTAGTGAACTGAAGACATCCCTCTATGGCTGATCCAAAAGATCTAGCTATACCCAACAACACAAGTTACTCAAGCTGCCCCACTGGTACCAAACTATTATCCAATGTGTGTGAAAGCGGGGTCAACGACAAAGTGGAAGGAACAAGACAAATAGCGTTGCAGGCAGTTGTGGTGATACGTTATTCCGGTCACGGGACCACGCGTTGCCATGTATTTCTACGAGGAAAGAGCAACACCCGCTTTGTTCTACCCTGTATCCCCACTCCTCTCACTTTCATCACTCCCATCCTATAATCGAGAAAGTCTCAGTGCAAAACTTGCAAAGAAACTTCTCATCCAGAGACACACTTGTGTTCTCAAACCTTACCAAACTCATCCTCTTCCATCACAATCAATCATTCAACTGACATCATGGGTGCATGGGGCTACTGTAAATGAAGGGATTACTCATTAGCGTATGGTTTTGGGCTGACATTGCCCTAGGTCTCTTCCAGTCCGATAATGACCTCGACATAGTCAGTGAGATGAGCGACGAAGCCGGCCTCACAAAACTCGAGGAAGAAGCCCAAGCTCGTGCAAAAGCAGAAGGCAAGAGCGAGAAATAAGCGCATTCCATCTACTATACCATCTACCGCAATATCTGCTCAGACCCTGAGCTTGTTCGCAAGCACCTCGATTCAGGCGTCCTTGTCGACATGATTGCAAAGAAGGAGTCAAAGATGTTGTCTGAACTCACTGGATCCCTAGATCAGAGACTCGATTACTTGACTCGGGATCCTTGTTACGCATACGTACTGCTCGGTGCATGTGCCATGACACTCGGCTGCCAGCTTCCTGACGCTTATGTTAGCATGCTGAAGAAGGTCTACACTGAAGGCGGGCTCATGCCAGATGCGCAACGCCAGATGAAGAAGGCCCTCTTTGGTCCAGGTGGCTACAAGAATGGTAGGCCTTACGATTTCGGGTCCAAGACGCTCTTGGAGACTGCCAATGCTCGTGAGGTCGAAGAGCGCGACACTGGCTCACAAGGCTTTGTTATGATGAATGTCCTCAGTCCAGGCGGCATATGGAACACCGGTATGACCACATCGACAACGTCTCTGATCTTGAAAGAACCTCGGGCACAGCGCAACGAGCCTGACGTATGCGGTGGCTGTGGTGCCGATCACAGAGCTGGTGGCAATGCTCTGCTTACGTGTTCTAAGTGCCACAATCGAAAGTACTGCTCCATCGAATGCCAGAAGAAGTCCTGGAAGGTTCACAGGAAGGTGTGTGTGCCTCCAAAAGCTTCTACCTAGGCATCCGGCTGCAACGCAGTGGCGATGAAAACAGTATCTGCTATGACGTCCAAGGCCATTGCAACTACCGCTGCCATATGATAAATATTTTGAGGGTGATCAACGACTTCATCATACTGATATTCTAGCGGTGGGTATCATATCAAGGTGTTGCTATTCGAGAACCATGTGTAATGACTTGAAGCTGTATCTTACTGCGAGACATGATGAGGGGATGGAAGAGTGCAAACCAACTGAACATCAGTATGATTACTGTATATCTATAGGGCATTCCAGCTACTTTCGTTACGCGCCTCAATAAAATAATTGCAACCACATTCTATTCTTTCTCTCGAGTCTTGAGTGAATGCTTATAATATAGAATGTTTTGTCACATGGTATACCAGTGTAAGACGAGTTTCTTCATAATCACCCAGGGTTCTCAAGCATATCTAAAATAGCCCAAAGTTTAATGTTCCGAGTACAATGGCATAGCACACGTATCACATATGAGCATACTTGACTGAGCATATTCGATTGCTCAATTTCCAACCCCGAAGCAGTGTGGTATTACTTCCAAAAATTGCTATGATGCGCATATACGAGTGCGCAACACGTATTGTGATATCTCCGACGGGAGGTAGAAGAAAAAAAGAACCCCGAATACAACGCCGATATCTGCAATGCAGTACAATGCAATGCAATCGTTCTTTGAACCCGAAACGCCTCCCCGAACCCATGGATAGTGTTACATTTATCATCACAAGAATGACTGCTGGGGGAAAACCCCAGTTGATGTCCAGGCACATAGCCGCAGTGTACATGGCAAAGCTACCCCTCTTTACACAACGTCCCACACCCATACACACGCACGCGTTAACCGGAGCGCGATCAAGAAATGCGGGGAGAGCGAGAAGAGCACTACTGCAAACCCGCCTTGTTCGTCTTGACCGTGTGAGGAATAGGTTTCAAAATACCCTTGTTATCCCCAGCACCGAGAGCGGTACCCGTAGACCACCCCATTTTCATCATCAGCGCGTGACCCCTATTCTCAGGTCCCAGCTCCGGAGCATTTGCACCGACCGTCTCGCCATCCTTGTAGCCCAGCTGAGGCCGGCTGCGCGTACCGCTCTGCTTGTGCTTGACGGTCGAGTATCTGCCTGCGCGTCCGGCACCACTGGCACCCTGAGGGTACAGAGGGCCCCGTAGACGTTTCTGAAAACCTTTCTTTTGGATAGCCATGTCGAATTCGTTGTCGGTGTAAGTGCGGGTACGAGATGTCTTTGAAAGAATGGTAAATCTGTCCATGCCGTCGCCGCGGGAGCGAGAGTTTAGGTTGAAGAATGCTGCGGCTTGGTGAACGGTGGCGCGGCGATAGGCTTCCATGGGAGGTAGCGCAAGTGTCTGCATATCGCCCATTAAGAACTCACGGATTTCTTCAACAATGTCTTCCATGTCGATGCCGCCCTGGTATTTGACCTTGAGGTTGGCACTTTTGCCCTTTCTACCTAACAAGCCCTGCTGGCGTAGCTCCTCACGCTCCGCCTTCTTGAGGCGCTTCTTTGCTCGGTCGGCCTCCCAAGCGTTTTGAAGCTGCTCGTTCAGATCGGAGTCATCCAGTTCTGGTGGTGGCTGGCCGCGTCGACCTTTCTTCTTGGGCTTTAGTGAGGGTCGCTCGGTATCCATTATGTCGAAGCCGCCATATGGGTCCATTTCGAGAGCTGCAACCATTGCAGATGCTGATGGGAATGTCGGGTCCTTGTTACCGCGCCCACGGCCTCGCTGCTTCTTGTTCGGTTTGCCGTAAACACCGAAAGACGACTTCTTAGTGGGGCCTGGTGCGTCGAAGAAATCATCAGCACCGTAGAGCAGCACTTCGTCAGCGCCTAAGCCAAGCTCTTCTTGTTTTTGTAGGATCCTAGCGATGGTCTCATCATCCAATTCTTCGGCATATGCGTCTTCATCTTCATCTTCATCGTCGTCGTCGTCATCATCATCTTCTTCGTCGTCGTCGTCGTCGTTGTCATCCTCACCCTCATTGTCCTCACCTTCATCTATATCTTCATACTCATCTGCAGAATCGCTGCTTGCGAGCATTTGCTGCTCACGCTCAAAGGCCTCGGCCTCAAAGGCTTGAATCATTCGCTTCTCAGCAGGGCTTTTGAGAAACGTAGCTGGCAGCCAACGAGCGTCATCAGTGATAGAACCTTCGTAGACGCAAAGATAATGAAGGCCAGATTTACGGGTCCGTTTGGACAGGACGCGTACAACGGTATCCATGACGTCGGATGAGGTGCTCATGTCCTCGAAATCTCGCAGCATATCCGAATCCCAGTCTTCACTACCCTGGTCGTCATCTCCGCCGTCTTGACTTCTAGATGCTGGCTCCCAGTCATTGTGGCTGCCTCCATCCAAATCCATTTCACGACGAGCAAAACCAGATGCAGCCGGCATATCATCGGTAAAGCAAAACTCCTCAACATTTTGCATGTAGTCATCCATGGCCGCGTCACGTGAATTGGCATTGTCCTGCAGGAGAGCTTCCATATCGGGTCCTTCTGAAACAGGCAGCCATCCAATTTTGGGTTTACTGCGGTGTTGCCACTCAGTGGTGGTACCCTCCCAGGCAGGTCTGTCACCTCTCCGCTTTGCAAACTGATCCTGATCCACATCGTCAGGATCCGACACTGTCTCTTCTTGGACCTTAGATACTTGGGCAACAGCTGCCTCAGTTTGTGGTGCAGTTTGATCACTTGCAATGTCCTTTTCTGTAGTTGTGACCGGGGTGGCTGGAGTTGTGTCCGATGCAACAACAGGTGTAGCTGGAAGCTGAACACCGCGCCCTCTAAAGATGACTTCATCTGCACTTGACGAAGCATCTGAAGGCGCAGGCGATGGGCTGCGAATAGCCATCTGTGCCATGGCTTCAGCGTTGTCCGGCGTGGAAGATGGCAAAGAAGGCGTAGCAGACTCCGAGCTAGACTGGGAAGGGTCTTCTTGGGCAGATTTGACGTCGGGTAAGTTCTCCTTCAGGGTACCTTGGAGATGTCCAGCGCTTACGAATTGGATCGGCATGTGACGTAACTTGGTGCCTGCGTTGAAGGCAGTGGTACGGTGGTTTGACATCCAACGGGCCTCATCCTTAAGAGAGAATTTAGATGCGATTGCTGGTGGCACAAACGTATCCTCGTCGTGGAGGGCCCATGATTGCGAAGAGCGTTTGGCGGGCGCACGGTGCGAAGTGCTCTTCGATGAACCGCCCTTGGCCTTGGTCTTGCCCTTCTTCTTTCCACGGGACATTGCTGCAGAAGCACACAGGGTTTGCAGGGGGAGCGATGTGGAAGGGAGTGGTGGCGACACAGCGGCGACGGCGAGGTTGAGCTTTGGATTAAAGATGATGCGCACTTCCTAGTTCACTTGGCGGGGGGGACGGCGTGGGGCTAGTCGGAGCTTATGACGATGCGCCGATTATGCAAGCTCGCAGTGCAGGCCCCAAGCTGAACAGGACAGTTGTATATAGAGTGCGTTCGTGGGCTGCTCTCTGGACAGCTTGACACATGTTTGGATAGACAGCGAGCGACGTGCACATGCAGCAACACGTGACTGGTTGCAAGCTGTCACCCTGTAAGACGTAGGCAAGTACAGTCTAGAAGCGTGTCGGAGCTCGGGATAGCCCAGGTGATAGCCAGGTGATAGCCACCCCTCCCCCGCCACAACCTATGACCTGGAGCTCGCCGCAGCTCCCTCTCCACATTCTGCGTTCCATATCGCGCAGGGGCTCCTTCTTTGTTGCAAGACCGCCGTTACTGCTCAGATATCCAGTGCGAATACCCACGGCATAATATCGACACACATGTAGCCAGCTCTAGGCAACCTCATCTCGGACCTCCGCATCACCTCCGCACCCAACGGCCGCCTAGGCCCCTACCACCACCACCCACGATACTACCCATCATGCACGACTTTGAGCGCGTCAGCCGCAATATCGTCCGCACCTTCTACGACCCTCCACCTACAAACGACTCCAGCGAACCCATATGGCTGCTGGGCCAACGTTACGATCCCCGCCCGCCACCAGCTAGGCCTCCGCCTAGTGATGCCGCGGCCGCCGACGAACCCACTCCACCGTCCGAACGCAACGAGGACGAAAGCTGGATACGCACAAGCATCGACGTCTCTGAACGCAAGGAAGCTCCAAATGGCGAGGATCCCGCGCAATACGGCAACTGGCCGTCGGCATTTCTTGATGACTTCGAGTCGCGCATCTGGATGACCTATCGCTCAGGCTTCACAGCGATACAGAAGAGCCAGGACCCAAAGGCAACAAGCGCGATGAGTTTCCGTGTTCGCATGCAAAATCTGGCATCCCCAGGCTTTACCTCTGACACGGGTTTCGGCTGCATGATCAGAAGCGGGCAGAGTATCCTGGCCAACGCATTGCAGATATTACGCTTGGGCCGCGACTGGAGATACCAGGACAAGCCCACCGCCAAAGAACACTGCGAGATACTTTCCTTATTTGCCGACGACCCGAGAGCGCCTTTTTCCATTCACCGCTTCGTTGAGCACGGTGCCGCCGTCTGCGGAAAGTACCCTGGCGAGTGGTTCGGCCCTTCCGCAGCGGCGCGGTGTATCCAGGATCTAGCCAACAAGCACCGCGAGGCTGGCTTGCGAGTTTACGTGTCTGGCGACGGCGCAGACGTATACGAGGACAAGCTGAAGGAGGTTGCCATAGACGACGACGGCGAGTGGCAGCCTACACTAATCTTGGTCGGCACTAGGCTAGGCATCGATAAGATCACGCCTGTTTACTGGGAAGCGCTAAAGGCGAGTCTGCAAATGAAGCAGAGCATAGGCATTGCAGGGTAAGGCACAATACAGAGCCGTTTGGCATGCTTTGCTCGTTTGTTATGCTAATCTGACACAGTGGCCGTCCATCCGCTTCGCATTACTTTGTGGCCACGCAGGGAAATAACTTTTTCTATCTCGACCCGCATAGCACTCGTCCCTTGCTGCCATATCGGCCGCCTCCATCGTCTACCGAGAACGAGAACGAGAATCAGAACCAGAACCAGAATCAACTAGCAGTCCCATCCAGCTTGGACGCCTCAGCTACCTCGAACTCATCCTCAACAACCATCGTTCCCTCTGCTACGCCCACGGATGGCTCCGACCGGACTACCTACTCAGAAGAAGAGCTGGCCACGTGCCACACACGCCGCATCCGACGACTCCAAATCCGTGAAATGGATCCCTCGATGCTCATTGCCTTCCTTATCACCTCCGCAGATGACTATGAGAACTGGAAAGAAGGCGTCCGTAGCGTACAGGGGAAAAGCGTCGTGCACGTGCAAGACCAGGAACCCATGCCTAGGGGCCAGGAGAGAGAGGGCGCGGTTGACGAAGTGGAGAGCTGGGATGAAGATGGTTTGCAGTAGGAAATCGGGTATGCTGCTTAGACTGGCGTTTGGAGGGCTTATGATGACATCATTCGGATGCTTGCATTTTTGGAGTTGGGCCGCGGGATCTGAAATGTGTATATCTGTAGATACTATATTTTATGAGCAATCAATACCGATGCTGTCTGTAGTCGGATTTATCAGATGAAGGCAGAAAATCCATAAGTATAGTGCCGAATAATGCAACTGCGGTAAAGGCCGTTCGGCAATGGTTATTCAAAGTAAGTTCCTAAATAGCAAATAAGTTGAGACAATCAAACTCGAAAATGGAAAATAGGAGAGCAAAAATGCGTGAAGTTGGAAATAATTGATTCGTTCCCGTCTGCTGTGGTATAATGTACAGACCCAGATGGACCTCGTAGTCAAAGATGACTATATGATTCGATGACAGACAAACCGACCCATGATCACATTAGCAAAGGACCCGTGAACACCGCACCCCGTAACCACTTGTCATAGTGGCAAGAAAGACCCAAAGAAAACATCCAGCGAAGAAAAAGCACTCTATTTGGTGGATGAAGAGTACTTGGTGACGGCCTTGGTACCCTCAGATACGGCGTGCTTGGCAAGTTCACCGGGCAGGATCAGGCGGACTCTGCAATTGGTGTTAGTGGGTACAATCGACTGCGATTGTGAAAGGCGGTGAAAACGTACGATGTCTGGATCTCACGCGATGAGATGGTGGACTTCTTGTTGTAGGCAGCGAGCTTGCTGGCCTCGGTGGCAACGCGCTCGAAGATGTCGTTGACGAAGGAGTTCAGGATGCTCATGGCACGGTTGGAGATACCGGTGTCGGGGTGGACCTGCTTGAGGACTGGAAAACGCGTCAGCAAGTTTTGAATTGTGAGAGCGGAAGATGCGGAAGCATTGAGACCATGCGATTCGATTGCATGTCGCGCTTATGACGCGCAAATGGGCCAAACTTACCCTTGTAGATGTAAGAGGAGTAGGTTTCCTTCCTGGTCTTGGTGCGCTTCTTCTTGTCGCCAGAGGGAGCGGCGGTCTTCTTGCCAGCCTCCTTCTTCTCAGCGGGAGCCTTGCCGGCTGGGGCCTTGCCGCCGGTGGTGGGAGTCTTCTGGGCTTTGGGAGGCATTTTTGGAGATTTGGACGGTGGAGATTGGAAAAGGTGGGATCTGGATTGAAAGCAGGAGCTTCGAGTGAGATGGGGCAGGTAAAGTGTCGTGGGTGGGTGTCGAGATGGATGAAGGGAAAGGTCGTCGACGGCGGGGGGACGCGCTACTTATGGGGAGCGCGCTCGCATGTTGTGATCCAGCAGCGCCTGGGAGGCCCGTGCGGAGGGACGCTGGCCGCCTTGCCTGTTCGGGTGCTAGGCGAGGGCGGCGAGTGATCTTGCGTCGACTTGCGGCAGGCGCTAGCCGGCGTTGCTGCCCTTTGGCGCGCTAGCGTGCGCAGGTTGATCTCGCGCACTCGCAACACGCCAGCGCCGTCCTTATAAGACGGCCCCGCCCCCCAACACCAGCAAGCAATCCATCGTCTTGATACTCCACGCCCACAACCCGCTCACTCACGCCGCTCCGTCCACACTCCCGTCTTTTTCGACTCCCACTTCCAAAAACAACCCCCACCCAAAAACTCATTCAAAATGACTGGCGGAAAGTCCGGAGGCAAGGCCAGCGGCTCCAAGTCCAGCGCCCAATCGTAAGTAGCCACTGATTGCATGCTTTGCAGCTTTTTGCCTTTACCTGGGCTGCGCGCCTCGTGCACTCTGGTGTTGCAACTTGTTTGCTTTTGACGCGTCTTTTGTCTCAATTGACGCGTCTTTTTTTCGCATCTCAATATTACATCATTTGCTAACAGCAATTCCAGTCGTTCATCCAAGGCCGGTCTCGCTTTCCCCGTCGGTCGTGTCCACCGTCTCCTCCGCAAGGGCAACTACGCCCAGCGTGTCGGTGCTGGTGCTCCCGTCTACCTCGCTGCCGTCCTTGAGTACCTCGCTGCTGAGATTCTCGAGTTGGCCGGTAACGCTGCCCGCGACAACAAGAAGACCCGTATCATCCCCCGCCATCTCCAGCTCGCCATCAGGAACGATGAGGAGTTGAACAAGCTTCTCGGACACGTTACCATCGCACAGGGTGGTGTCCTCCCCAACATTCACCAAAGTATGTTCATCGCATTCAATCTCATCTCAACAATCACTAACGCATTCTCCAGACCTTCTGCCCAAGAAGACTGCCAAGCCTGGCAAGGGTCCTTCGCAGGAGCTCTAAGCGCATTTTGCTTTCGAGTTTCTTCTTCACGGCGTGGTTACTTCATGGGTCTTTTTCGTCTGCAATGATAATGGGAGTCGGTCTGGGTTTTGGGTTCTCGGCTTTTCACGGGATTTATACCAGAGCTGTATATTAGCTGGTCGCTTTGATGACCACAGGCTCATGAGCTGAATCGAGCATATCACTTCACTGCACCATCTTCTGTCCGTGTTCTCATTTTCTTGCTCATTGTCACAGGTCGAATTGAAACTCGATTTTGTTCGCATCTGCTTCGCGCAACGTGGCTGGGTCATTGCCGCAGCCTGTCCGCTTTGGTGGTCAACTCCTGAGTGTGGGGTTGCTGTTTTTGGCGAGAACAGGTAGTGGCGGCGCCATGGTAACTGTGCAGGAGGATTTGCAGCGCCCTGCGTTATTGGCGGTCTTTGTTGAATCACGCAGCTCTCACCGCCACATGAAATGCAACCTCCGCATTTCATGGTCTACGGCGCAATTGCAGAAAGAACTTACTTTTGTTGAGATGGATTATAATTTGCGTCATTGGGTTTACCTTAGGAATTTAGGTCCATAGTGACGTATTTGAGCGTACTCGCAATATTCTTGAATTTGAACATAGGCGCATTTATAAGGCCGAATTGAATTCATGAAATAACAATCCAAATTCATCTCCTTAATTACCCATGTACACAGGCCGTAAAGTACATGCAATTATAGATATGTTTTACAAATAGTATTGATCTTGCGTTGATAGTTGTGCGCGCTGTGGTTCGCTGGTAATGTTCTTGGAGTGCACTAGCCTGTGACTACACATGGCCCCTGCGGGGAAACTCTGCTCGATCTGAGTGTGCCGTGATCAATGGCAATTTCCTATTCTAGTATATACCATGATTGGAAACTGAGAATTGGGCCACTAGGGAATGCTCACTGTCGTATGTCTCTTGGTTTCTTTCTGCACATCTGAGCTACCACGTCAATGCATATTGTGTAGTCGTTGTAGTACTACTTTAAATCATGTCCCCATGAATGTATGTGATGTGACATGATTTTTTCCCTTTAGGTGGAGTTTGATAATTCGATCTGTTATGGGTTGGCTTTGGTTGTGCGCAGAGATGTTGTGTAGGCATTCGACACTACTACAGTGTAACCACGTACGAAATATCACTACACAACATGTGCATATATTTTTTAGCTTAGATAAGGCAAAGGCAACAAAATCTCTTCGCATCAGTACGTCTTTTACAGTTTTTTGGATAATAATTGTATTTTGTTCGTTGTTGACTCTGTAATACTGAGCATTTTCTCGAATGTATTTTTCGCAAATTATTGTCGAACATTAAATCATCCAAAAAATTACCACACCATGGCAACAACCTAAATTGGGCTGAAAATTGAGATATATGATACCAATGGCCCAAGAATTGTATTCGCATAATTTTCAAGACAAAATGTATGAGTTATCGTTGTCACGTTTTGTTGGAAGCTGAGGCACGTGAAGGGCAGTCGAAGGGACTGCCCGAGCTCCGTTGGCCCAAGCTGAGCCTAACCGGAAACCGGCCCCCATAACAGGCACGACTGCCAAGCCCGCGACATCAACCCGCCCTCAGCACCTCACACACACCCGCGACGCAATAGCGAGAGCCATTGCGGCCACGAACCACGTCTTGCATCGTCGCCATGAGCACCAAAACACATGTCCTGTAAGCGCTTCCGTAGCACCCGCCCGCACCGCCTGTTATGCACGCGCAGAAACTAACCAAGCCGCAGACGCCTCTACAGGCGGTCCCTCAAGCTCGCCCTCGACTGGAGCGTCCATCGATACCTCTGGCGCGGACAGGCTCTGTACATCCGCGAGCTTTTCGAGGCTAAGAGAAACGTTACCGAGCCCCGTCAAATGAGAGTACGTCCCGCGATTCCCTCTGCAAGCCATACACACAATCACCTATACAATTACCCAGTCACCACCCATCCTCAGACTCATATATGCCACAGCTCCGCCAATGATCATGCTAATAATATGTACAGGATTTGATTAAGGAGACAGAGGAACTTCTTGAGAAGTGGAAGCACCCAGACCCTTACCGCCCACCCACGGCACCCGGAGGTTCGTTCCTCTCTACCAACCTGGATATTTTTTGTGTCGGCGCCACAGACGTGGGGATACTGACTGCTTGTAGGTTCAAAGTACGAGCGCAACTTGCCTTGCCCAATCACCGAACGTGAGTATCTCCACCCCCATTGTTCCAAACACAACCAGAATTAACATTGATTAGCTCCACCAAAGATGATTTTGTAGTGTTTGCCATGAGAACTGTGTCCAGGTCAACTTGTACATATTACAACGACAGTGCTACATAGCAGTAGCACGCAATGCCACAGTAAAAGAAGGACAATACCCGTTTCGTTCATACTGCGCCCCTATCTCCAGGCGCCGCACATTTCTCCTTTTCTCGTGTCATGATCATTGTGTCTAGATGACACCAGTTGACGCTTTTATTAGGTCTGATACTTTCTCACTCTCCTCACAGTGTTCAGATATCCCATATTGTCTATCACGTGCTCCCTTTCTACCCAGAGCGGTACATCTCCATGTGCCTCCTTTTGTGCCCTTTGCTGCACCCATGCGTCCTCCATATATGCCCACTCTGGCATTTCACAGCAGCCTCCAATCAGGACTGTCCTTTCGGGTGATATATTATACAGTAGCGACTCATGCGTCTTCGGTACCAGGACCTGCACAACCTTCTTCTCTGGATCAAAGCCGCGAATCAATGCAGTGCAAACCAACCTCGTTGTTCGAGGATCCAACGGCTGTACCATACCGAGCGATTCGGATTCCGGGAAGAAGGGGATCCGAAGCCTCTTTGTTCGTGGAAGAGATGTGTAAGGGGTTGGCACGATCGATGACGTCGACTGGACGATTTGGACAATAGAGCCATTCAGCGCATGGACCAACGAAGCAGGCTCAACGGGCTCTGAGTACATTGCGAAACCGACCAAATCTTGTGTCCTCTCATCAGTCTCTTCATAACAAAACTCCCATGGTACGAGATGGGAGAGCGGTTCAGAACTCCATCTCAGCCCTTGTGACTGGCCAGGGTGTGTACTGCTAGACTTGAGGTGGAAGTAGGATTGCATCTGCATAGTGCACAATTCCGCTTCCTTCCTCATCAGCGGCAATGGTGGTTTTTGTGTAGCAATTTCATGCACTGTGCCATGGTACTGCGACGTGATAGTCTGTAGCACATGCAGTCTTGCCGCCGTCTCTGTGTCGATGGCTTGCGTGTCACCAAGATGGACTGTGTTGTGTGGTTTTAGCCTTGCTAGGAGCTTATCGAGAAGGCCAGAGTGAGGCAAGCATAGGAAGCTAGGCGTGTCGACAATGACTGGCAGAGACGAGTCTCGGGCGTGAAGGTTGCGGTATGCCACGAGAAGATCCTCTACACACGCCTCATAATAGTCGGAATAATTGGCCAAGTTTGCAGGGATTGGGTGCGCGCGTACTATTTCATCTGTAACCATATCTTCGGATTCGGGCACGATTGATGGATGGGCGAAGCTTGGTCCCAGGTTCAGTTGTCTGACGATGACGAGAGATATTTGACCTCCAGGCGTATACTCTTGCTTTCTAGGGTCAAGATCCATGTAGCACACAGCTGGTACCGATGGAGCAGTCTTCCCTAAGCCTGTAAGGTAACGGTTGATGAGTCGCCTCGCAAATGTTGATTTTCCTGAACCCAATGAACCAGTCACTACGGTCATGGATGGGCTACCAGCGCAATCCTCGATAGCGCGAAGCCAATCTTCGGGTGCCATTTCCGGGCACAACGGCCTAGAAAGAGTGTCGGCACCTGATTCAGTCACCTATACAAAAAATAGTCAGTTCGGATATGAATTATGACGTTGACCTGGGATGTGTTGGGTTGACAGACTGTATCCAGTATGTTTGACGATAAGGGGAAGCACTTACAACATTAAATGTTTTTCGGCCTTGGGTTTGCGAATCGGTGCACCATATATCATCAAAAAGTGGATTGATAACAGAAAGTGGTGCTGGTACACTACATGATTGAAACATGACATGATTTGTACCATCCAGTCCGCGAATCTTGAATATAGGACTGGTAGCTGGCACAAAGGCTCGATACACTTTGTTCTTCTGGCCGTCTCGACCGACTGTACCAATATTCGCGCCATTGATATGAATAGCGCCTCTCAGTACCGTGAATTCAAAGCAGCCAACGAGCGCAATAGTCGCATGCTTGTTCAAGTTGATAGTGAGCTCGGTATCGGTTTCTGAGATGATGTTTTGTGGGTCGTTGCGCCAGTTGCAAAGTTTGAGGTTGCGCTGTACAGGCACATTTTCCTCATCCGTGTCTGAATCTTGATGCTCTGGCTCTTGAGCTTCTAGTAGCGGACTTTCTGGTACAGAAATTTGCTCAAGTGTGACTTCTGGTGTTTTCACGACTTTGGCTGTCGCTTCCGTTCTTAGGCGAGCTGCTGCAATTGCGGTAAGCGGTTTTGCGCCTGTGGCATCACGCGCGACAATTTCCTCTCCTCTCTTTCTTTTCCCGGACATTTGGAGTGTTAGTATGGATATTGGTGTAATGACCCCGGCTGCTGGCATCGAAGGACCGAGACGAATGGTTTTTGTCTGGGTTGCGGCGCACGCGCTCTGAAGTAGTTTAGCGTCAATGTGGCTGGAGGTCCGCGCGCAAAAAGTTCCAACTGAACTCACCAACTTTCAAGGCGCAAAGAATATAGCTCAACACACACCATGAAGGACGTAAAAAAAACAAAGGTACCGCTGCCTGGCGCGAAGCCGAATCGAAAACCTCAGAGCGCCCCAACGAAAGCACAGTTGAGCCAGGAAACAATCGATACCGACAGCGATTCTGCCAGCGAAAGCACGGCGCGACCGAAGAAAATCGAGAAGCCAAAAGCCACCATTGGCATTCATGTGAACGGTGTACCCAAGACCAAGACGAGGTCTAGCAAGATAGACG